GGGGGTGGGGGCATTATTATCAGAAGGTGGGAGGGGTGGTGGCCACTTGACTGGCCTGAGAGCCTTCTGCAGGTGCTTGAGCTTGTCTTGCGGCAGCTTCCATAGCTTGTGGTCGCCGGACATCTGTACATATTAACGCGTCACAGCCCTGTGTCTGTCTATGTGTGGATGGATGGATGGATGGATGGATGGTCGCCCCACCACCACCCCACCCACTTACGCGATGTGGAATGAGCAGCTGTCTGGGGTTGCTGCACACAAAGAGGAACGCGCTCTCATTCTCCTCCCTCGGCAGAGAAGGATCAGCCGCCAAACGAATCTGCCACTCTTCCTAACAAACACACACACACCAACTCATCGACCCGCATCAACACACACTACACTGACCCACCCACCTGTGTAATGCACTCTTCCAGATCGACACACCCAAGCACCATGCCCGTGGGGAAGCTGCTTGGCAATGGGGCGTGGTTCCCGCCATACATGTCGCTGTAGTGGGCCAGCAGCTGCTCTGTGAGCGCCGGGAGCGGATCCTTGACCGTGGCGTGGACCCACAGCCTGCCTCTGTGCTCTGTGGGCCATGACCGTCCCTCGACTCGCTTGAAGCCGGCCACAAGCAGAGAGGCCCACGGCTGGTGCATCGACAGACACACGCCCCGGTCAGTGACGTCTGTGTAGCGGCTTGGTGGTGCTGCGGAGAGGGCGGATTCTGCCTCTTGCTGCTCGTGGTGTTGGTCGAGCTGGCGCTGTCTTGCCTCTGCTTCTGCTGCCTCTGCCGCTGCCGCTGCTGCCTCCTCTGCTGCCCTCTCGCGGCGTGCAACGTCCAGCTCGTCAAGCATCTCCTGCAGACACACACACACACACACACACAGAGAGAGAGTATGTGCGTGTACGTCTGAAGGTGTATTCTAAAGCTGCTGACCTCGACATCGGTCCGTGTCTCGACTCCCCCATATCTCATTTTCCTCCCCCCCTCCGCCTCCCCCTCCCTCCCCTCCCTCTCCACCCAGGTGCCAGTGTTAAAGGCCCTCATCCGCGACTGCAGCGTCTCCATGAACAGCCGCCGGTCCTCCTCAAGCTGCTCGTAGACCGCCTTGATCCTCTGGTTGGCAGAGGAGGACTGCGGCTGGCGGACTTCATCGTCAAAGGCGTCCAGGGCGGCCTTGTTGTCCTGCTCGATGGTGGAGTCGGCCTCTGTGATGCGGCGCCCGGCGAAATCGAAGTTGACGTTGACCCTCCCTGCAGACACACATGGGGACAAAGTGTGTGTGTGTGTGTGTGTGTGTTGGGGGGAGGGGGGTGTTGGTTACGTTGCTCTTGTCGTTTTCGGTCTTCGAGCTCTTTTTGTTTCTGTATGGCCTTGAGCCTTTGCTCGCGCGTGAGCCATGGGTCGTTGGCGGCGCTGTACCAGTCACTCTGGTCGTCGTACACTTTTGTCAACACCGACTTGTTGCGCGCTGGACACACACACGGAAACGCAGAGAGAGAGAGAGAGAGAGACAAACAGACCATCTTGCATGTGTGTGCATCCCACCCCCCTACCGCCCCGCCCCACGGACCTTGTTCCATGATTTGGTCTCTGAGTTTGATGGCCTTGTCGATCTTGTCCCTCTCCTCACCGCTCCGCCCATCATACAGATCCGCATCGCCAGGCGCCATATCGCCCCCACCACCCCCACCACCGTCACTAGTGCCAGTCGTGAGATACTTCCCCACCAGGCCCTTCCCGCGCACCTCATACCTCCCACAAAACAGACACACACCCGGCCCCTCCTGCGCACACACGATCTTGCCGCACGCCAGACAGTTGCCCACCAGCTCGTGCTCCCGCGCCTGGCAGTCGCACATCAGCCGCTGCTGATCAGCACCGCCCCCGCCGGCTTTGCCCTTTCTCTGTGTCCTCTCTGTCGCGATGGCGGATGAGTCATGGCCGATAGCGGACTGCATGATCTTCTTGCCCTTCTTGTGCTGTTTGGAGGGGTGCGTTGTGGGAGAAACGGGCAGCTGGGGGTGGTCATGGTCGTCGGAGGGCAGCACATTTGGCGGGGGTTTCTTGGAAGGGGGAGGGACGAAGCCGCTGGGATAGTTTACCGTCTGGTGCACTGATGGCGCTGATGGTGGAGGGACCGGGCCCTCTGCTGCTGCTGCTGCTGCTGCTGCGGGGGGTGGGGGTGGCGGGGCTGACAAGGGCACATACATCCACACGCAGACAGAGAAGATTCATTCTCACGTCCGTCACGTCTTCTCTCTTGTTTCCCTCTCTCTTCTCACCAGGCACACTCCCGTTCTGTTGACCGGCTGGCGGTGTCCTTCTCTTCCGTCTGAAGAGCTCCTTGACGAAGGCGGCGATCTCGGTGCGTGCGTGTCCCTCCTCTGTGAAGGCCTCGAGGAAGTCGCGCAGCTCGGCCTCATTCGTGTACGTGGCCACGTTCTCTACCACCATCTCGTCGGCGACACCTGATGATATTACATGGGTACCATGACACAAACACACAGACACATACACCCCACAGGGCGTCCCGACACACAGACGCACACTCAGTCTGCTTCTTGTGCGTGTCAATGAATTAATGCATTCATGCCCAGCCTCCCTCCCTCTCTGTGTCTGCCTCCCTCCCTCCCTCTCTGTGTCTGTCTGCCTGCCTGTCTGTCTGTCTGTCTGTCTGTCTGTTCTGTCTGAGCTGTGTCTGTGTTACCGATTATGCGGCCCAGCTCCGCTGTCATCCACTGGTGCATCGTCTGCACCTCTTTCGCCATTTCTTTCTTGTCTGTCAGCCTGCGGCTCCTTCTTCTGCAGAGTGTTGCTGACTGAGGGTCAGCGCGTGTCTAGATGCGGTCGATGAGTGAGCAGATCACAGCTGAAAACGCCTTCGCCTCGCCTCCTACACCACTTCACGCCCTCGGAAAGCGCCCGCTGAATCCTCACAGCAGCGGTTTCAGGGAATCCTCACAAACAAGCGAGCTTGTCCCTGATCTCGCATCGTTTTCCGAGGAGGGTAAGTGAGTGCGTGTGTCAGCGGCGCGCTGTGTGCCTGTCCGTGTAGCGTGCTGGCTCGATCGATAGCATTTGGGAGGAAGGGAATAACAACAGCGCACAGCTACACGCACAGTAGGCGTAGGAAGATCCAGCAGACACAGAACAGAAGGATGAGCACTCCCATGGAGATCAGCAGCGTGGGCGTCACCAACAGCGCCGGCGGCACGCCCAACGGCACACCGCAGGGCCAAGGTCAGGCATCCACTGGGTGGGCCACATGCATGGCATCCCATCCTTTGGCATGACAATCCTTTGGCTTTTGTGGTGTGTAGGTACGGAGGTGCCGCCGGTCAAGAAGAGGAAGGTCACCGACTGCGTAAGCTAAACACCCACAGCACGGGACAACACACACACGCGCGCAGCGCACCCCCATGCATTCGTACGTGACGTGGAGTGGATGCATTCTTGGCGTTGGTGCGTTGGTGCGTTCGTTCGTTCTTTCGTTCAGGTGACGGAGACCAAGGAGGTCATTCTCAAGTACACCTGGGAGATCCGCAACTTCAGGTGAGTGAGTATACGAACGAGTATGTGTGTCTGTGCATCCCATGTGCCTTTGTGCCTATGTGCCTACATCCATCCATCCATCCATCCATCCATCCCTTTTCGTCGCACGTCAACGGTGCAGCATCCTCAGGGCGCGAGCAATGGCAGAGCAAAGTCAGTACCCTCTCCCCCGTTTCCCCCACGCCCCCCCCACACACATACACACACACATACACGTGTCCCTCTGTCTGTCTGTCTGCCGTGTGTCTGTCATGTGTGTGTCAGTTGGAGACGACAATCGTGTGTTCTCGCCGCCCTTCGGGAGCGACCAGATGACGGGCCGGTGGCGCCTCTGTCTGTGGCCGGCGGGCGAGGACCGACAGGACGCCAACGCAGCAGGCAAGCAAAGCAAGCTTCTCTCGTATTGGGGATATCTTCGTTTTGGTTGGTTGATGCATCTAGGAGGGGCAGGGGGGCAGCCACCGCCTCCGGCCAACAACGAGGAGCGGCCGGTGAGCCTGTTCTGCCATTTGGTGTCGCCGCAGGAGGTGGAGGTGGTCGCCAGTGCTCACTTCGCCTGCCTCGACAACGACCAGAATGAGAGTGAGAGAGGGAGGGAGGGAGAGGGAGGGTGGCGTAGATAGGGTGATGCATGCATCTCTCTCTCTCTGTGTGTGTGTCTGTGTGGTGGGTGCATTGTCAGTTGACTCGACCATGATGCAGACCCGCGTTCGCAAGTTCTCGCACCAGGAGGGCAAAGGCAAGCCCCATCACACAACACACTCCCTCCTCCCTTGTCCCCCATCCATCCATCCATCCATCCATGTATCTGCAGAGTCCAACCGTGGCTTCTCTGAGTTTCTGTCAGCCGACCAGCTGGACGACGTCTTGTTCAACGACCGCATGACCATCTACTGCGAGATGCGCACCATACCACAGAGCGAACACGAGGAGCCAAGGGCGCTGGCAAAGGCGTGTAGCGACATGGCCGGCGGCGTGCAGGGCAAGGCGCTCGGCAACGATTTGGGGAGCCTCATCGACACGGGAAGCACCATGCACTCTGGTGAGCGAGAGTTGGGTGTGTGTGTGCGGAGGGATGGCTGGTATGTATTGCGCCTGTCGGTGTGTTGTGTGTTGTGTGTGTGGCAGATGTGGTGTTGGTTTGCAACAACGAGGACATCCCCGCGCACCGGTGCATTCTCGCCGCCAGATCGACGGTATGTGTGTGGGGGCAAATGCACACCCAGAGAGGCAGGTCTGCCTGTCCATCCATCCATCCGTCCGTCCGTCCGTCCGTCCGTCCGTCTGTGTGTGTCAGGTGTTTCGCAACATGTTGTCGGCGCTGCGGGCATCCACCTCACAGTCGTCAACTGAGGGCATAGCGGCTGCTGCAGCAGCAGCAGCTGCTGCTGCTAGCAGTGCTGGTGGTGGTGGTGGGCAGGTTGGTGTGGGTGTGGGCGGTGAGGTGCCTTCCCAGCAGCAGCAGCGGCTGGTTGTGAGCGACGTCAGCCCGAACATCCTCAAAGTCCTTCTGAGATACATCTACTGCGATAGGTGAGAGGGCGAGAGGGATGGGGGGTGGATGGATGGAGTGATATGTGTTGGTGTGGTGATGTGTGGTGATGTGTGTCAGTTGCAAGGAGTTGGAGGCCAGTCCGTTCCCCCACGCCACCGTAGTCGACATCCTCAAAGCCGCCAATAGATTCAATATACACGTACACACAAAACACACACACAAGACACACGCTTCCTCTGTATCTCTGTGTGTCGTGTGTCGTCTGTGTGTGTGTGGTGGTGGGGGTCGATGTGTCTGCAGGGTTTGCGTGAGCGTTGCGGCGAGGCGTTGGTGCAGGAGTTGTCTGTGCAGAACGTCGCACACCTGCTCATAGAGGCGTCGCTACACGGCACAGAAACCCTCAAGAAACAATGTACACACACACAGAGAGAGAGAGAGGGGCGTAGCGGGAGAGACGACTGTGCGTGTCCCTCCCGTGCCGTGGCGTGCAGGTCTTCGGTTCGCTGCCAAGCACTACCGTGCTGTGTCCAAGACGGAGGGCTTCAGCAAGCTGGACCGGCACCCAACGCTGCTCAAGGACCTCATGCACATACTCGCCACACAGTTCACCAAGCAGCCGGTGGCCACACAATCATAGTAGACAGACAGACAGACAGATGGCTGGCTGGCTGGCTGGCATATAGCTATAGCTAGATGGGGGATGGCGTGTAGACCCATGGCTGATGAGGTGGCGGGACACACCAGTGTTGGCTGCTGCCGCTGGAGTGCTGTGCTGTGCTGTGTGTCACGCCTCTGGCCGGAGTGCTGGGTCTCCCATGTGTCTTGCTCATGGCGGAGGGTCCTGCACACGGACAACAGGGGCGTCACGCGGCCTGGCACCACACACCACACAACACAACAGCAGCCACACCCAGGGTAAATGGATGACGGAGGGAGAGACCTCAGGTGTTTTTGCCCCTCCCGCCCTTGAGCAGATGGCTGCCTAGTGTAGTGTAGAGAAGGAGAGAATCTGTGTGTACCGACTGTGTGTGTCTCATGGATAAAGGAGTAAGGCGGCTGCTGGTCAGTGAGCTGGAGGGGCCAGTGAATGGACTCGTGCTGTCTGTCATCTTGATCAGCGGTGAGGTGAGTGCATTGCATGGTCAGCCTCGCCGTGTGGAGCAGTACGTCACTTGTGACGTGCGAAGGGATGGACTCGTCCGTGAGTGAATGCGTGTTTGTGTGTGCGTGCACAGCTGTCTGTCTGTCTGTGTGTCTGTGTGTCTGTGTGTGTGTCATTGTCTGTCTCTCTGTGTGTCATTTGGCCTCATCAACGCTGTGAGACCAAATGAGCCTACACCAGCCCACCGACACGCCGGCCTCCGATTCATTATCTAGATGTATGTGTTGCCATCCACCCACCCCAGGCAGCCCAGCCCACATGCCATGCAGCCAGCACCCATATACCCCTCACCACTCACTGTCTGTAACGATGCTCATGTGCCGTGCAGTGAAGAACCCGCTGCGCTTCATCACCTCTCCCCCACCCCTGGGACCCCTCTTGGGCCCCTTCTTGGTCTGGCTTGTGTTCTTCTTGTCCTGCGGTGCGGATATGAGGAACTGCGTCATGTGTGTCTGGGAGGGGTCTTCATCATCCTGGTCGTCACACCTACACACACACACACACACACATACGGAGAGAGAGAGAGAGAGAGATGGACACACACACACACACACGAGGGGTGGTGGGTGGGTGGGATGGACCATTCAAGTGCGGGGCCGTTGTTGTCCTCCAGCAGCTTCTGCACCGTGCCCCATGAGAAACGCGCCAGGCTGGGGAAGCCGAACACCTAAACACACACACATCCACACACACATCCATCCATCCCTCCCCCCACCCACACACACACCAAAGCGCACGCGCACCGGGTGGTAGTTGTCCTGCAGCCACTGTTTGGTGGTGCTGTCCCCAGGGTAGCCAGAGCCATACTCACCGTCCCCGTCTCGCTTGGAAGGCTCCTCCGGCACCCAATGGCGCAGTAGCAGATCGCGAGACACCTGTGTGGCATTGGGGGTAGTAATGTGCGCGTGAGGAGGCATGGCATGTGGCCGGCCACACCCACACACCCTCACACACGCGCACCTTGGCAGCGATGGACGCAGCACCGACCACCACATATTTTGAGTCGGCCTTGTCGGTCACCTGCAGGCGTCCGATCCATGACATGAATGCACCAAAGAGTGAGTGGGTGGCAAGAAAGGCAAACGGATGTGTCTGTGGCGTGGCCTCTCTCTTCTCTGCGTGTGTACCTACCGTGATATTTCCGTGCAGAGACGGGAACCTGGCGGTGAGCTGCTTCTGGTACGCTACCGCATGGCCCACCGTGTCAACATACACCTGCACACAGACAGACAGACAGACAGACGCACATCCATCCATCCATTCATCCATCCATCCATTGTGTCCGGGTCGGGTCGGCCATGGCCGTACTTGACGAGTGCGTGTGTACGTTACGTGTTTGATCTCCAGTCCGGCGTCGAGTGCCTCCTGCAGCATGTCCATCACGGTGCCCTTGGACAACTCATTCAAGTTCATGTGACACCTGCAGGTAGTATACACACCCACACCCACACCCACACAGAGCCCTTTCTCCATCCATCCATGTGTGTGTTTCGTTTCTCGGTGGTACATACGTTTTGGACAGCTGTTTGGCGCTCAGATATTGCGGCCACAGTGGGCGGACGAGCCACCTGCACCGCATGGTACATAGCAACACGACACAACCCATTCACACACACACACACACACACACAGATACACAGGAATGGCCGCGTCTTGTGTGCCGCACCCACCCGCAGTGGTGGTGCTGCATATCGTCTGTGTGGAACTCCCCAAATATGCGCTCACGGTCCGCCTCTGTCAGCTTCTTGGAATCTATAGGCACACAGACAGACACGTAGAGTACACAGATGCATCCACCCAATTGCATCCATCCAATGTGATCGATGTGGATAGCGTAGCGTACCATCTACTCTGAGGTCTTTGAGGCGCTGCTCGCTGCCTGTGAGGCAGAAGAACGCCGAGTACACCATCGGACCCAACACAGGACCCCTGCCCGCCTCATCCACACCTGATGGATGGATGCGCACACCAGCACACCCCGTCCAGCTGTGTGCGTGTGGATGGTGTGGTTGCTTTCCGCCCTGCTGCGTGTGTGATGGATCCATCCATCCATCCATCCACCCATCCATTTGATCACCTGCGTACCTACGAAGACCTCCTTGCCCTTGAGGTGGTCCATTTGTCGCCAGTTGCGGCCCGCCAGCGTCGCTCGCGACAAATCCGACTCTACGCCACCAGCAGTGTCCCCACCATCCCACTCATCGTCGTCCATTCTGTAGACGAAGGGGAGGCCGAAGGATTCACGCCGAAGGATTTACGGGCGGCGAGAATTCTGCGACGCTGTCTCGATTGGGTCAAACGCATTTCACGCACTTTCCTTCGCCTGTAAAGAGCCCCTCACGCCTGTTGTTCTGTATTCGAAAGAGACTGCTGGCGCGGCGGGTGCTCTTGAATGCCGGCTTTCAACCACCCATCCTTGTGCCTTGGTATCGCTTGGAACCCGCTGAGGTGAACGCTGTCTACAGGTATAGGAACAGCCCCAATGATATCACAAATATAGCCGGGCAAGTCCGGAACAGGCGCCTGCAGGCTCCGGTAGGCAGCACACACGAAGTCACTGGAGCTGTTGCCTCCCCTTTAGTCGGCATCCCGTAGGATAAGTCGTTGAGAAGGTCTCCATACGCGCCGTATTGCGCTGCGTTTGTGTGGGGTTGTGGTGGTTGTGGTGCAGAGTTTGACCCGCCCGTGAACGCCCTCGGGCCGCAGCGGGCGCTGATCTACCGAAACACTGAGCAGGTACAACACAGATGATGGCCAGTGGGGGATCTCTCCGCACAAGAAGATGCATGGTCCGGCCGGGCGGGGGGCCTTTTTTGCCCTGGTGTGTTCCCGCTTTTCTCATGTCAGATATTGCAGAGTTTGAATGCGTTTGGGGGTGCGCTGCTGTACCAGGGCATGAACACGTTTGGCAAGGTCGACACCAACATACAGCCGAACCACACGGCTTCCGTGACGCTCCCACAAACCACTGACGTGAGTGCGGGGTGTGGGGGTGGGGTTGGGGGCTGGGAGGGGATGGGAGGATCTGTGTGTGTGTGTGTGTCGGTCATTGTGTCTCTTGGACTGCAGACGGGGGCGCCTCAGACGATCAACTTCATCGCCAGGCATACCATCGACATGCGTACGGAGGGCAGGGCAGGGGAGAATGGGGGAGATAACGCACACACGTGGGTACACGTCTCTTTCTCTCTGTGTGTGTCCCTCTCTTGTTGCTGTCCCTTCGTCCATCAATGTGTGTCTGCAACAGAGGGTGCGCTGGACCAGGAGAACATCCAGTATCTCAACTGTGCCGTCAGGAAGGCCATGGGGCAACTCAGGGTCAGCCCCCCCCCCACCCCTACCCACACACCCACAAACAGTTGTCCACCACTTTCCTTCCTCTCCCTCTCTCTGTCTGTCTGTGTGTGTGTGTGTGTGTGTGTCTGTGTTCGTGCAGTTCCAGGTGATCGGTCGTCACCTGTTCCTGACGGGGATGATGACCGCTCAGCCGGTCGACCCCGAGCTGGGCGGCACCACCACCGTGGGCATCGTTAACACTCCACCACACACTCGCACTACGGCTGAGAAGATAGTACGTCCCTCTCTCCCTACCTCACCACATTGATCTGACGGTTCATTCGAATGTGTTTGAAGGTGAAGGCGTTGGAAGCCATGGTCGAGCAACTTGAGATCGATGAAGTCATACACACTTCCACGGAGCGGGACGAGACAAAGGTAGGTCAGCAAAGAGAGAGAGCGAGACGGACACAAAGGCAGACCAGCAAGCAGTCTACACCCAAGTACGTCTCTGTGTGTGCAGGGCGAGACCACACTTCACGTCACGATTCGGGATGACAAGACGGCACCGGTAGCTGGCTGGGTCATATGGGCATACACACACAGCCATCTGTCCTTATCCATGGAGATTGCAGCTGCTATGGAGCACCAGAGCACCACCACTACAGCAGCCGGCGCCACATTCTTAATCCCCTTAGCAACACAAACACACCACAACCAGGTGGGTGTTCAACTAGTTTAACGGTCTGTCTACACATTCAATTCACTCACTTAGAGGCTATGTCTGATGGAGATGGTACGGACTTGCTCGCAGCAACAGTGCACCATGACGAGGCCAAGGTAGGAGAGCAAAGAGAGAGAGAGAGAGAGAGACGATCTACACCCATGCCGTGTGTGTTAGGGTGAGACGACATTCACTATCACTGTTCGAGACGGTTGCAAGACGGCACCGGTAGGTGGCTGGTCACATGGGCATATACACACAACCATCTGTCCCTATGAATGCATACTACAGCTGGACCACCAGCATACCACCACAACAGCGGCCGGAACGAGTTCAGAGTCGCTCGGCATGTGAACCCGCCACCCCACATACACGCACGACAAGCAGGTGAGTGTGGAAATGCATGGGCCTTCCTGTCTGCCATGCGTCTCTCTTTGTGTTTCTTTTTTGCTGTGTGCGTGTAGGAATCTCGCATGGCGGACGTGTGTCTGTGTGTTGTGTTTGGGGTCTCTGTCTGCTTGAATTCACGGATGCAGTGTTCTTCGAAAGACCAGGACGTCCAGTGCCATTCATGCACCTTTTCCACTTCTCTCCCGCCCTCTCCACTCTCTGCTCTCGCTTTGCTTCGTGTCGTCCTGTTGTGCCTGTCCAAGCTGCCTCTCACGACTGGAGCGACACACACCAATGCAGCGACCGCAACAACACCAGCGCACTGCTGCTGGCCGCTGGTGTTGCTGCTGCTGCGTTCGTGTCGGGTCAAGGGGCTTCAAGGTTTCGAGTATGTCCTCAACACTCCGAGCACAGACACTGAGAAGATGCATGGTATCAACAGTCAGTCATCGCTGACTACATTTTATATTCAGACGGCATGTGCATCACGTGATGCATACGAAGCAACGAGTTTCGATATGTGCCTCTGGTCTGGACGACGTACTGTCCAATGTAATACATTGCCCCCAAGCCAGCAAGCCGTACTTAGCGAAGCGTTGAGCAATGAAACATATAACGCAGTCTCTCTCACACATCGCAAACGAGTCCGATTGAGCAGATGCTCTCTCTCAGACGCGAAGCCAGCTACTATCGGCAACCACCACTCACCGCAGCACCTCTCCCCTCTCAATGACATCGCTCTCCAGCTTGAATGGCCGCAGCACACGCCGCCACAGGGGCATTGACACCGGAAAGCGGACGGCGAGCGGCTGGGACCGATCAGCGGCAGGTGGCTCGGTCGTGAGCAGCGACATGAAGCCTTCCCCCACACGCAAACCGGCGGCAATCGTCTCGTTGGGCCGGTAGCCACTCAGAATCACATCACGATAGTCACCTCGATAGTCACAACGATGCCACGATCATTCTCCCGAATGTCCTCGGCCGTCAGCAGAGAGCGGTGACGGCTGTCGTCACGGCCGATGGATGCTTCCAGCACCGGTCTTTTCTGCGGCACTTCACCCGACCACCTGGCACACACTATGGTCAGCAGGAATGACGATGAGATGACCTAACGGAAGCACAAAAACCAGTCACTCTTTCCGACCCGGCAAGCCCCGCTGCCGCCTTGCCGCACGGCGAGGCTAAGGCTGGCCCCCAGGTAGCTCAGTAGGTGACCGAATAGGCTGTAGATGGCCATGGCGAAAGGCAATCAGTGAAAGGCCGCCTTGCTCTGCAGATGGGCATACCAAATCAGCCGACAGCACCAGAGGCAGCCCGGTGGCAGGTGTCAGCCGACAGACGACAGCCAAGCGGATGAACCACCCCGTCGCCCGCCACTCGTTGCTGCCCTGCTCCAGCACATACGCCGCCCGCATCAAGTAGCTGAAGCCGCTCAGAGGCGGCGGCAGTAAGAGCCTCAGTCGACGCGCAAAGTGACTGTACAAACGTAGCACCGCAACAAGGAGGTCGCCAAACGCACCCCCAAGGCGAGAAGGCTGGTGGGCGGGAGGGGTGCATAAGTGCGGTCGACACCGATGACACCGGTGAGCTGGCGGGCGAGGAGGGCGTCGATGCGCTCCAGCAGCAGAGCTACATTGACGATGGATGTGCCGAGGGCCCAAGAGGTGCTGCGGAGAGTGCCGCATCGGGCAGGGGGAGGCATGCCACGACACGCACACGCCACAGCTCCACGGGCAGCGAATACGCCATAGATCGGCACCAATCCAATCAGTCAGCGCAGCTAAGCCGGCGGCCGTCAGGTTTGCAGACACACGGCAGCTCCCGTGACGATCAACAATGCGCCAACAAGACCGACTGAACATACAAGCAGTACAACACGCACATGAGTGGCTGCTCTGCTCTGCTCTGTGCTCTGCGGACCTACCTGGGTCAGTGAATGTCTGCACGAGCTGTGTGTCAAGGCAGACCTCAGTGATGCACGTGAACAGAAAGGAAAGACTGTTGGCCAGCGGCACAGCCACGGACAACTCTGCACACACACGCACACAAGTGTGAATGCATGGCACACACCAGTGTTGGGATTCTGTCTGTGGTGCTGACCGTAGTCTCTCAGTAGGAAGTAGTAGAGCACACTGCCCACCTGGTTCAGCAGATATGGCACGATGAACTGAATGAACAGACAAACACAGACACACATACAGATACACGTTACGTACGACTATCCCACCTTTGTGTTTGTGAGCAGCCTCATCGTGCTCTTGAGAATGTTGTCTTCTTGCGGGCTGGTGTCGTGTGCATCATTGCACCGCAGGAAGGGTGACGTGACGCCCCATAGGGCACCCACCAGCAGGAACGCCGCCCTCATCTCACAAACAGCTGTTTTGCTGATCTCTCATCGGGAGTGACTGGAAATGAATCACCGTCTTCCGGCAGGGCGTACGCGCCTCACATTAGCCGCCCCGCTGCATTTTCCCCTTCCTGTATCTGCGAGCTTAGCTCAGAGTTTGAGCTTGCAAACCTTTCGGTGCTCCCTGAAACCGCTGCTGCTTTCGCGTGATTCGCAGAAGCAATGTGGCGTTCGGTGACACGCGCGAGGCCCGTCCTGCCACTGTGCAGCCTTCCATCTGCGCCGCCCGTCCCTCCTCCCCGGCCATTCATCTCTCGTGTGCGGCGGTTCTCCCAGCTGCAGCACTTCCAGGAGAAGCATCAGCCGCCGTCCGAGCCGCAGCCGCGCCAGACGGTGTTGCCGTGGGAGGATGAGGTGCGGGAGGGCAGCTTTAGGTGGGACGACTACAATGTCTGCATCGTCGGCGCTGGGTGAGAGAGAGAAGAGAAACACACACACCTACACCTACCCAGACAGAGAGAGCCTCATTCATTTGGCTGATTGATTGATTGATTCGTTCCGGTCATGTTTGTTTGTTTGGCATTGTCTGCAGGCCGGCGGGGTTCTACACGGCCAAGTACCTGCTCAAGAAGGAGGAAATGATGCAGGTCAGTGAGTGAGTCAGTGAGTGAAGGAGGACGATGAGCCCAGCCGGCTAGCCACCAAACAGATCTGCGTCTGTCTGTCTGTGTGTCTGTGTTCTAGATTGACATCATCGAGAAGCTGCCGATGCCTGGCGGTTTGGTGAGGTATGGCGTGGCGCCAGACCACCCAGAGGTCAAAAACGTCATGAACGACTTCGAAGAGGTGGGTGTGTATGCCGGCCAGCCAGCCAGGCAATCAGTGTCTGTGTGTCTGTGTGTCTGTGTGTGTGTGTGTGCATCCTTCCGCCAGGTGATGAACAATCCGCGTGTGCGGTATTTTGGCAACATTGAATTGGTCCGCGGAACACGGAAATGGACGGGCACACATTTGGACACGCGCGTTGATGCGTAATGCCGTCTGTATGTGTGTGTGCTTGGTTTGGTGCGGTGAATGGATGGATGGGTGGATGAGTGCAGCAAAAGGAGGTGGGCATCAACCAGCTGAGGGAGTGGTACCACGTCGTCGTGCTCGCTTACGGCTGCCAAAGTACGCAAAGCGGACGAGCACAGCAGACACACAGAGAGAGAGCCTCACCTGTACGCATGGGTTCTCTGGTGTGTCCCATGTGTGTGCTTTCTGTCTGTCTGTCTGTCTGTCTGGCAGAGGACAAAATGCTCGGCCTGGACGGCGAGGATCTGGAAGGTCAGGAACAGACACATACATACACACAGACAGACAGGCCCGTGCCGTCACACACACATGTGCTGTGCTGTGCTGCCCTCCCTTATCTATCTTATGTCAGGCGTCTTGTCCGCCCGTCGGTTCGTGTTTTGGTACAACGGTCACCCCGAGGCCTTCTCAGTGCAGCCTGACCTCACCTCGAGCGAAGAGGCCGTCGTCATCGGGTAAGTCAGTCATGATGGGCGTGGCGTGCACATACCATCCATCCATCCACTCCATCCATGTGTGTGCAGGCACGGCAACGTGGCTCTCGACTGCGCCCGCGTCCTCACCAGGAAAATCTCGGTGTGTGCACACACCACAGCACATCGACATCCATCCATCCATCCGTGTGTATGTGTGTGCGGTAGGAGTTGGAAAAGACGGACATCAGCGACTTGGCCGAGAGCGCTTTGCGCCAGAGTGCCATCCGGTGGGTGCACGTCGTTGGCAGGCGGGGCGTGGTGCAGGCCGCGTGGACCAACAAGGAGCTCAGAGAGGTATGTGATGTGTCCGTGCGCTGCGGGCGGGAGTACACAACACTACCAGTACCTTGCTCCGGGGTCAAGAGAGGCCCTCCTTCCTGTCTGTGTGTGTTGTGTGTGCAGCTGACTCAGCTTGACGGTGTTCTGCCCATTGTTGATCCAGCGGTCAGCAAAGCACGGCAGGCACCATGAGTGTGCCCTGCCCTGGTTGGGTGGGTTGCCACACATGGATGGATGGATGGATGAGTGGGTGCAGGAGTACGAGGCGAACATGAACGACGCGTCAAAGAAGGAGATGGAGGGCAACAGGGGCAAACAGCGCATGATGCCCATCATCGAAACCATGATGAAAAACGTAACGAACGTACCCACTCCACTTCGCCGCGGCTGTCTGGACAGACAAGGCATATGGCTGCATAGATGCATTCATTTATCTTATTCATCTGCTCTGCGTGTGTGCAGTGGGACCGTCGCGAGATCACCGACAAAAAGATCATCCAGCTGCGGTTTCTTACCTCGCCCGTAAGGATCACCCCACACGCCGCAGAGCCATGGCGCGCCGATGGCATCGAACTCAGGCGAAACCGGCTAGAAGTCAGCTCAGCCACACCGCCCACAACCACGACACACCACGGGCTCACAGAAATCTATCCATCCATTCATGCATTCGTTTGTGTGTGTGTGTGTGTGTGATGCGTCCTGTGTTCAGGGAGAGCCAGGCCGGCAGCGTGCCGTGCCATTGGATGGCCCCGACGCCGAGCCTGAGTATGTCCAGAGCAACCTTATCATCAAGTCGGTGGGCTTCAAGCACGACGCGGTGCCGGGGCTGATACTGTCAGAGGAGGACGGCAGCGTGTGCCATCATGAGGGGCGAGTTGAGCTCGCCTACCAGTCACCTTTTCAGGTGCGTGTGGGTGTGGGTGTGGGTGGACGCGTGTGTGCGCACGTACACCTTCCCTCTCTCTCTCTCTCTCTCTCTTTTCTTCCGTCAGATTATCGGGGGCCTCTATGTGGCGGGGTGGCTGAAGCGCGGCCCCAAGGGGGTTATTGCCAGCAACATCCCCGACGCCATGGCGAGTAGCTCACCCACACACCAACCCATCCACACACGTCCACACACGGTTGGTCTCTGGAGGGAAATGCGATTGTGTGTCTGTGTGTGTGTGTAGGAGACGGCCAACACGATCTTGAAGGATCTGTGGGCGCGTGAGCGGATCTACATCAGTTTCCGCAGCAAGGGGCGGGAGGGGGTTGTGGAGAAGGTGGTCGAGGACCTGCGCATCCCCAGGAGAATCGTCACTGACAAGGACTACTTCCAAACCAAGAACGAAGAAATCCGGAGGTGCGTCGGGTCGGCCATCTTACGCCGCCGGGCATTCTGTCTCTCTCCATGTGTGTGTCTGGTGCAGGGGGATAGAGAGGGGCAAGACTGCGTCCAAGTTTCTGCGCATCAAAGACATGATCCAGTTCCTCGACAAGAGCTACAGAGACGTGTTGGACAAGGAGCAGAAAGAGATCTCCGTCAGGAGCCTGCTCATACACGGCACCACACCCCTGCTGACACGCAACCAGGTACCTACCCAACCCCCTCCCTCCTCCCCCACACACACCTACACAGACAGACACCCACACACGCAAATCCCCCGCTCTCTCTCTGTGTCTGTTCTGTGTGCAGCGTGCTCCCGAGGGCGCCTTGTTACTGACGAGTGGCTCCGAGCTGGACGAGATCATCAACACAGAGCGACCGTACAACCCCTCGTCGATCGACGGCAAGGACGGCGTGCTGCTGCCGGTGCAGTACCGCGAGTTTGCGATTCGGCAGCGGAGCGAGTACATCGGCCTGGGTTACATGCTGGGCATGTGTGTGTTCATCTACTACTGCATGTATCGGATTCATGTCAGCGGCGACCCGGGCAGGCCCGATGAGAAATGGATATAATATGACGGACGGACGATGTATAGTATGACCTTGGTTGGCTTGGTCGGTTTGTTGTTCATTGAACCTGGCCGTTGAGCTGGCCCCAAAAGCGTCCGAATCGGGGGCATTTTTCCCTTCCCTCCCTTCTCTCCGAAATGTCGGCCCCCGAAGAGAACAAGCCCCTACTGCAAGGCGGTGAGCAGCAAGCCCAGCAGCCCCCAGCAGCAGCCGCTGCTGCAGCAGCCGCTGCTGCAGCAGCCGCTGCTGCAGCAGCCGGGCAGCCACCCACTGCAACGGAGGGCGGTGACACGGCCCCTCCCGCTGCCCCTCCAGGTGTGCAGTGCAACAATTAACACAACAGCACCCCTGCATATAATGAGGAAGCATTGCTTGATGGGATGGATGTATCTGGTGCCTGCAGGTCTGCCCCCCGGTGTTGAGCCGATGGAAGAGGAGGAGACGTATGTGGGTGCGGACGAGGAGAAGGAGTTCCGGCCCTACGAGCTGGGGGAGCTCACCTCATTCTGGGGCATCTTCTGATTCACTGGCACCGCACTCACCTCGCCACACATCTGGTACCCCAGTGTGTCTGCAATGTGTGCGTGCGGTGTGCTGTGGGTGGGGTAGGGGTAGGGGCAGGGAGGGGGGAGGGGGGAGGCCTTCTCTCTCGCCGCGAGCCTACGCATTGCAATGCAATGATGAGTGTGTGTGTATGTGGGTGTCTGTCTGTCTGTGTGTCTGTGTGCATCATGATGCTGTCTGTGTTGGTGTCTTTGGTGTGTGTGTTTAGGATAGAGGCTGCTTTGTACTACGCCATAGTGTTCTTCGTGGTGACGATGTACCTGTCTGTGGCTGGCGACAAGAACGAGGGGCTGGAGGACAAGTCCAACGCCGTCAAGTCCGTCGCCACGTTCCTCTGCACCATGAGCGGTATGTTATGTGTCCACCATTTTCAATGGATGGTGAGTCCGTCGTGAACACACACATCATGGACTGGGCTCACAGCTTTCATCGTGGGACTTTTCACCAACTTTAACATCAGCAGATGGTGAATCGAATCGCTTTGCCGCATTCATTCAGTCGGCCGCCTCTGTGGTTTGTGTTGTGTAGGTGGAACATCCGGACCGAGGGCATTGGGCAGATATGGGGTGCCACGTGTCAGCTGAGCTTCCTACTCAACACATATGTCAAGAGCTACGGCGGGGGCGTGGCGGAACAGGACAAAAGACTCATACACAAGTCGCTGACTCACAGGCGCACCACAAATACATCCAACCTCTATCTCTCTCTCTGGCTCTCTTGGTGTGTGCAGTGTGGTCCGCTACGGCCGCGCATCGCTCGCGTGCATCTTCTCGTCCCGCAGCGAAGGGAGATTCGACGACCTCGTCGATCGCAGACTCCTAACGGCAAAGGAACACGGTAAGAATGCGCTGCACCGTGTTCCTCTGTACCCATCTCTCTCTGTGCATCGTAAGACATCCTGCGTGAAGAGGTGGAGTATCGTGTGCCGTGCTGCATCTGGGCGTGGGTGACTGCCATCATCGCCCATTTCGACCAGCAGAAGAAACTGCCCGGGCCGCCCATCGTCAACACGCTCTACGCCACGGCAGCCCGGGGGCGCGACGGGGCCGCCGTGATATTGAGGGCCATCACTTGCCCGCTGCCCCTGGCCTATGTGCACATGATATCGACCATTGTCAAGATCAACAACATCCTCATCGCCATCGCTTTCGGCTTCAAGATCACCCTTAACATGCACACCAGAAGGTTGGTTCCCTGCAGCAGAGGAAAGAACAATTGAGGCGGCCGGTGTGGTGTGAACCCTCTTTGTCACATGTGTGTATGTGTGTGTGCAGCACTGGGTGTTGATGGTGATCAACCTGGGTGTGGTGTTCGTTATCCCTTTCGTCTACAACGTACCTGACGAAACAGAGACACAGCCACACACACACACACACACAGAGAGAGAGAGAGAGAGAGAGACAATCACTTGACGTAATGCTCCTCCCTCCCTCCCTCCCTCCGTCGGCTGTCTGCTTATCTGTCTCTCTCTATCTTACTCAGGGCATCTTGGCGATATCGCAAGAGCTGTCTGACCCCTTCGGAGACGACTTCAACGACTTCCCCGGCAGGTACTACGACGCCACCATCCACAAGGAGTGCCAGGCCTGCAAGGTGGTCGTGGAGAAGTTCAGCGAAGTCTTCGAGGAGGACACTCAGCCAGAGGAGTTTCCCGCACTTGTCAAGGCGAAGTAGATACATACAAGGGGCGGGCGAGGGCAGGACCTATTTGGGATATATTGGATTTGTGTGTGGTTTGTGGTGAGTCGACTGGTGGCTGGCTGGAAGTGAGCCTTTCTTGCCTTGCGGTTGGTGGCCGGGTGAGTGAGTCAGTGGATGGGGGGGCACGCGCAATCGATCGCAGCGCAGCGTAACGACTATGAATATGTGCTGCCGAGCAGTGGCAAGCAGGATGGAATATAATGCGGGCATCTAAATTACATTGTAGGTATAGAGTCACACACAGGGGTCTCGTCCGTCACACAGAGAGAGAGGCATGTACAACGGAGGGAGGGAGGGTCTAGTATTAGCAGCACAAGCAGCGAGCGAGTCAGTCGTCATTTCTTGACGGTCTTCTGCGCGCAGATGTATAAAACTGACGCACACACACACACACACACACACACAGATGAGATGGTTTCTTCTGCCAGGCCAGCCAAGCCATGGTCGGTCCACCCCACCATCGCCTCGCCCACCACACGTGCGGTGCGCCCCGTACCGTACCGTTGTTGCCCCTGAGGAATGCGTCGCCGTACTTGGCTTTGAGTTTGCCGTCCACGTACTCCTCCGTCTGCTCCATGGCAATGTTCATGTAGCCATCCAAACACGCAAGCGTACCTGACAGACAGACAAAACCACACACACACACACACACGAGATGAGATGCCTGAACGAACGAATGCGTTGGTGCGTTGTGTGTCGTGCTGTCTGGCATGTGTCCACTCCACTGACCCCTGTAGTCAGTGCCGTTGTTGAGCTTGACTACCACCGGCCTCCCCAGCACCTGCTTCAGGAAGTCGCTCGGATTCCTCTTGGCAGTGGAGCCGGACATCAGATCTCGCCAGAACACTGCTGCTGCTGGCCTTCTGGCTTGCCTGCCTCCCTATATTCTCCTCCTGGCGTGCGATCCGTCTGCGAGCTTAGAGGTGGAAAGAGGGGAGGTTCATTCGTTCGTTGGATAACGGGCACGCTGGTTTTGTGGCAGCATGTGTGGAGAGTCTCGGAAGCTGCGGCTCATCCGGTGAAGAAAAGAACAAACGCCGCACGACAATGACACTGAAGGTAGGGCAGGCTGGTAGGCAGAGAGGAGGAAAGCACCGCATTCATTTCATTCACTCATCACGAATCATGTTGGTTGGTTCGCCGGTGTCTTCATCTGGCCTGATCTGATGTGATAACACACTGACTGGCCAACACAACAGGTGTTGGTTTGCGGCGGGGGCATCTCTGGGCTCAGCCTGGCCTGTGCGCTAACCCAGAAGGGCTTTGAGGTCACAGTGCTGGAGCGGGCTCTCAAAGTCAGCCACGCATGGCATGCACCCACATAGACAAACAAACGATGGACGCACTTTGCCTGCCTGCCTGTCTGCCTGGGTGCTGTGTGCGTGCGTGTGGGTGCAGTATTACTCGACAGCCGGTGCAGGTATTCAGCTGGGGATCAACGGTCAGGCGGTGCTGCGTGAGTGGGGCGTGCTGAGCACCTTCCAGGAGGTCATTGCGCCAGTTAACAAGCTCACCTTCATGAGGAGCGACGGGCGGCCTCTCGGAACCACTCAGTGGTACATAGAGAAGAACAGCCCGTAGCCGTCCGTCCACCAATGGGCCGTAGGTGTGGTCTGGTGTGGTGTGGTGTGGTGTGGTGTGGCTGTCTGCTTCACTTGTGCTGTGCAGGGACGACTATTTTAGGGAGAAGACCGGCCTTGTGCCCGGTGAGCTGAGCGGGAGGGAGACCACCCTACAAGGATGTCCAATCAATCATTTCTTTCTGTGTCTGTGCCCATCCAGGGGGTGTGTTGCGGGCGGACCTTCTCGCGAGGCTGGAGGCGCTAGTGCCTCCCGAGTGCATCAGGAGGGGTGTCACCGTCGAGAAGGTCGAGAGCACCAAACCCACGCCTTCAGTGCAGATCGTCGATGAGAACGGTACGCAGCTAGCTAGCTGGTGAGTGCATGTCCGCCGTCTGACACCATGATTGATGCGATGCATGGATCCCTCCCTCATTTCAGGCGACACTTGTGTTGAAAGTGCAGACCTCATTATTGGCGCTGACGGTACGGTACGCTGGAGGGGTGGGGCAGCGAGTACAACGAGTGGGTGCAGTGCAGGCCTGTGTGTCTGCAGGGATTCGTTCGAGGGTGCGTGACGCTGTGGTGCGCGATGAGAAGCCGCCCACCTTCTCAGAGATGGAGTACTGGTGCGGCGTCTGCCCAGAGCCGGAGCTCAACGACCACCCCACGTTCGAGCAGGACGAGCTCATGGAGCTTGTCGGTACGTCAGAGCAGAGGAGAAAGAAAAGACAGACCATCCATCCCACCGGCTTGCATCCTTCTCTATTCGCTTGCTAGGTTCCAAGAAGTGGTTCCTGTGCCACCCTGCTGGTGCAGAAGGCGCAAGGATGCGTGTGTGGACACTCATCCAGTCTGGTAAGGCAGGCAGGCACTTTGACTGACATATTGCGCTTGTTCATTCATTCTGGCACGTCCATTCATTCGCCCTCCTTTCCTTTCGTGTCTGTCAGGCCGCGAGAGGCCGGAGGACTGGACCGATGACAAGCCGGCGGTGGAGGCCTTCAAAGAAAACGTCGACAAAGAGTAACACACTTAATCTGACCTGACTGCATACCATTCCCCCACGCACGCAACGCACGTACTCTCTTCCTTCTGCTGATGCACCCAGATGGCCTGAGTTCATCTCAGCACTGGTGTCGAGGTCCATTCGCCACTACCATTTAGGCATCTACCACCGTGAGCCGGTCCCCACATGGTTCCGCGACCGAGTGGTGCTAACGGGCGACGCCGTCCACGCCATGCCGCCGACCGCCGGACAGGTGAGGCTGGCCAGCCACAGAGCCGTACTACACACGCGGTCTTCCGTCCATCCATCCATGCGGCCATTCTCTGTTCTGCTGTTTGCATGTTCAGGGCTGCAACATGGCTCTGGAGTCCTCCTATGTGCTGGCAAATGTGCTTGCCGAGGCCATGCAGCAGCCGGCAACCGCCAGCGATAGGAGCGACAGCAGCGATGCCGGTGCCCGCATCGAGAGGGCCCTCAAGAAGTTCGAGCGACTGCGGCACACTCGGACGAACAACTTGTACGCCCTCTCCAAGATCAACGCCGCGTGGATGGTCGCCGGAGGGTAAATAAGATGGGCGAGAGGCGTTTTGTCGGCTATCGCACTGTGTGCGTGTGCGTCGTGTGACTGTCAGGCGGTTTCTGACCCCGCTGAAGCTGTGGTGGATTGGCACGTGGCACAGAGGGAAGGAGAACTTCGCGACTAGGTAAGCACGGGGTGCAATGCCAGCGAAATACGAATGTGTGTGTGTGGATGTGTGTGTGTGCATTATGTATCCTATGCAGGTTGTATGAGAGGGAGTTCGTCAACGAGTGCCCCGCCCTGCGGCCGGACGGGTCGCCCAAGACTCAACAGCCGCCACGTTAATGAGAGGCCTGTCCGAGATGCAGTTGTGAAGACGGAGACATATGGAGATATGTGTTCTTGGCCATAGAGACAAACAGACGTATGAGCGTATTTGTGTAGCGAGTGGTAAGGCAACCCTACAGACAGAGTGTGTGGCTGTTGTGTCAGTCAGCGGCCAGCTGACTCCGTCGGCGCGACGGACGGACTGAGTGGGTTGGGAGTTGGCTGTGTTGGCCGTCTTGTGTTGCGACGACTTGTCGATCGATTCGATTGCATTCCCATGGTGGAGGGATTTTTGGTCTGTCTGAAGCGAGTAAGTGAGTGAGTCGAGATGGATGGATGGATGGACATACGCACACACACAGACACTTACATGTACGGGCGTGTACGTATCCCCCTCTTAATTACCCCCCCGTCAGTCAACCGTCATGCCATTTATTATGCAAACACCACACCCATATCATATCATATACCCACACGATCCACTCCACTTACTTATGCGCTGCTCCGGATGGTTGCAACAATGCTCTCATAGGAATCATGTCTATAGACGCTCGCCTTCCTCTCAGCCTCTTCCTTAGCAAACCGCACAGTAATGTGATCCTGCGTCGTGCGCCTGCGCCTGCGAACGCTGCTGTCCCCCTCTCCCTCCCCCTCCCTCTCTGTGACCTCTGCAATGGTGTCCATCAGTGTGGGCGTCACCCGCAGTCCCTCCAACTCTATGTGCCGAACCCTCTCGCTCAGCACAGAGGGTGTGGCAGACGGCCGATGGCTGGGAGGCTGGTCCGTCAAAGCGAGACATGTCTCTGTCTGGTCCTCCTTTCTGCGCGGCGATCGGCGCGTTCGGATGCTCTCCTCCGCCAGCAGCCGCTCGGTTGGCAAAGTGGACGTGAGGTTCAGCGCCTCGATTTGCCGCGGACGGAAGAGGGCTCTCTTGAGGGGCTCTGGGAGGGTGTCGATGACGGGGTTGTGTTTGGGGGGCCGGAGTGGCTCGCAGAGGGGGAAGGGGATGGAGGGGTCGAGCCGCGATGCAGTGTCGAAGTCACGCAGGGCCTGCTCCATGCGCTTCGAGTAAAAGGCGGCGTAGCCTGCATAAGCAAGTGAAAAGGAGACAGACAGGTGTGTGTGTTCTGTGTTCTGCGTGTGTGTGTGTGTGTCGCCCTTTTCCAGACCTCTGTGTAGGAAGAGCTGTGCGTCAATGGGCAGCCACAGCTGCTCCATTGGTGCTGCCGCCTTCTCGCCGGCGATCTGGGGAAAGCGTGACGGCTGGATGTGATCGATCGCCTTGGTGAGCTCCATCGATGCCCCCACGTAGTCGCCCTTGTTGAAGTGGTGGATGCCCAGCAGCTGGTAGGCCCTCGATAGTGCGCCGTGCACCTCGCATATTCTTCGACACCTGCGGATCTTCCACAGCTCTGACGCCAAAGACGAAGACTCCTCCGCTGGGCCATCACCGTGCTGTCTCGTGCTCTTTGTTCGTTGAATGTCGGGCGAGAGGATTTCTTCCGGCGGTATGGCGTTTGTGGCGTGCTCCAGCTCCTGCTTGAAGTCGTGTATGGCGTCCTGGTGGAGGCCCAGCTGAAGGCGGCACTCGCCGCGCAGGAGCCTGGTCATGGGGACGTGGTGGAAGGTGCCGGCTTCGTTGCAGAGGGTGATGGCCTCCTTGAAATGGCCATTCTTGTGCAGGTTCCGCGCCATGTCGCCGTATGTCAGGGCCGCCTGCACCATTATCTGCTCCCTACACGCAGGCAGGAGACACGGATCGCATCGCTTGTGAGAAGGGAAATGGTGTGTGTGTGTGTGTGTGTGTGTGTCTTGGTAGGTACCTGATATCCTCTGTGCAGCACGCCGAGCAGTGTTGAAGGTCGGTGAGCGCCTCGTCGAACCGATCCAGTCGCCTGTGCACAGTCGCCCGGAGGAACAGTGACGCGGGATGGTCGGGCGCCACATCTGACGCCTGGTTCAACATCTGACTAAACAAGGAGAAAGACAGACAGACAAAACACACACCAGACACACGAAAGTGACGATACGACCCCTTCTGTGATGGATCGAATGGCTGTTGTACCTCCAGCGCCTTCCAGTAGTCATGCTGGAACACCAGGCTCATGGCCTGCTCGTGCAGCTGAGTGGCGCGGTTGTGCATGTCCAGCAGAAAGTACTGCACCGACGTGTCCGCAGGGTTGTGGCTGAAGGCCTTCCACAGCGCTGAGACAGCCTGGGCGAACTTGTTGACCCCCTCGCCCGCCTGGTTCTGCAGCAGCAAGAGAGCCCCGCGAAGCATATGCGCATCTGCCATGGCCGGGGTCTCCCCCAAGGCGTCTTCTGTGAAAGCGAGGGCCTCCTTTAGGTTGCCGTCGCGCACTTCGCACACGGCCCGGAGGTAGAGGTTCTCTGCGCTCCTGTCGGCCGTCTTCAGGGCGGCACGAGCGGTGCTGGTCTGCCCGCGGTTGAGTGTGCGTGCGGCCATGGTTGTAGTGAGGAGATTCCATCTGGACTGTGCGTCCTTGAGGTGGGGGGAGAGCTGGAGTGCCTTCTTGTAGTTGCGTTTGGCACTGTTGAGGTCTCTCAGATTCAGATAAGCATCGCCACGCTCAACTGCATGTGGAGAGAGACAGAAAGCGTGAATTCATCCATTGCAGTTCGTTCGTGGTGTTGTGCTCACCGTATAGGTGGGCGTCGTCCGGGGTCAGGTAGATGGCCCGCGTCAGCTCAGCAATGGCGCTGTCATAGTTGCCGCCAGCCGATGCCTTCTCTGCCGCATCTCGTCTTCTGGAGGCCTGGCTGCGCTGAATGGCACCGAACGAATCAGAACCCCTCCGGGAGGATGCTGCAGACATGATGAGCCCAGGTTCTTGAGAGGGGGCGGTGGGGGCGAGCTCGCAGCGTCTCACACGCGTCGCACCCAGAGCCGGCCATCTGACTAGACGCCCGTGTGGGTGCGGTGCGATGATAGGTGCGCGTTTGCACAAGAAGAATCGCCGCCACTACGCCGCCGGCCGCGTCGTCTCGTCGCCAGAGGCATCCGAGGCGGGAGGAGGCGGAGGGATGGACTCGGCCGACAGCACTGTGGTGGCTGGGAGGGACGAGAGCATCACCTCGAGCGACGATGATGAGGACGCCTGCTACGTGGGGGACATCGGCCTGCAGCATGACGTCTTCAACCTGTCCATGTATGCGTGTAATGCACACCGATGATCGCATCGCATGCATTGCGTCCACCCCACCATTGTATGTCTCTCTTGGATCGAGTGTCTGTTGTACTTACTGTACGTGCAGCGCGTGCCTGATGGGAGCGTTTGGGCTGACGTCCATCGGCAGGCCCTTGCAGCTGTCGCCCTTTCTGCTCCTCCTCTTGACCATCTTTGTCCTGACAGTGCAGATCTCTCTGCTCTTCACTCTCGACCCCGACTTCACATCGGCCCTCGGGTACCGTGCCGTACCGTGCGCAGGAACACACACATCGGGAATTCTTCGCCAGGCCCTTCCCTTTGTCTGTTAATTGCCATGGGTGCAAGCAGTTTCCACCATTTGGAGAGCGGCGCGCAGGACAAGTCAGGTCTGACAATCGACACGATCATCGACCGGCAGATACAGACGCTGCTGCGGCAGTCGGTGAGCAACCGGCTCTGCGCCATCTTCAGCATCGGCATTCTGCTCATCATGCTGGCCAAGGACATCCGCGAGAGGGCCAAGAGCGTGGAGCTGCTGACGTGTCTCAGCTTCCCCAAGACGGAGACCTTCTGGGGCAGGTACTCCCTGAAGGCGAGGCACCCCGCGTTTGAGGAGAAGACATGGCTGACTGGCAAGATGAGGCCCATTGGGATGTCGTTTCTCTTTGTGTGCTTCCTCGTCAATGTCCTCGAGCTCGTCATCGATTTCTGGTATGTATGAGCGGAAGAATTACTGAATGTGTGCATCCATCGACGTGTGTGGCGATGGTGTGTGTCTTTCCTTCCTGTGTGGATGGATCTGATCAGGATTGGCTGGATTGGCTGTGACCTCATCGTAGGCAATGCTGATGATCCCATGGTAGGTAGTATCCACCTGTGTGTTTGTCTTGTTCGTCCACCTCCCTCCCTCCCTCCGTCCCTCTCTGTCGTGCAGTTTGCTGTCCTGACGGTGTTGGGCATCATATGGCTCTCCGATTTCGATGCCGTCCTCGCCGCAGCCATCCCCGGGCTGCTCAACATGGTGGTGCCGTCCGACTGTTGGGTCATCGTCGAGACACTGCGGCCCTATTCCTCCACCCACCCCCAGCCCGACTACACCATCTCCCAGCTCATGGCCACTATCGGCATGTACGTGGCCCTGGTGATGGCCATTCCCATCTACGTCCAGTTCTTCTTGCTGATCCTCATTCTGGCCGTAGTCTACTACCTGACGGCAAAGCAGGCGGTGACCTTCTGCGACTGCCTCCTGGCCCCTTTCTGGGTGATATTCGAGCTGCTGCAGTCCCTCCTGGAGATATGGCCGCCCATCCTGGTGTCGGTGATCATCGCGCTGCTATGGCTGCAGTGCGCCAAGAGCCCCGTGCTGACCTATGAGATCCTGGCGAAAAAGTACTACCCTAACGCCTTCTTTGCGCAGGGGTCTTTCCTGGACGACTGGCGTCGGTGGGGCATCCCGCTGTTTTTTGTGTCCATCCCGATTATCAACCATTTCTCGACAACACGGCGGGAGTTGATGCATGTGCTGCGGGAGAGGTTCAGGAAGCAGGGGCTGTTTCTGGGTGTGCAAGGTGAGGACAGGCAGCCGCTTCTTAAGGAGGGTGCTAATGAGGGTGAGGGTGGGAGTGGTGGTGATGCTGATGAGACGGCGTACTTGCTTGTGGAGCAGAGGGGGCAGACGTGAGCATTGGCTGTGCTGTGAATAGACCGATAGGCCGTGAGACATGTGTCTGCTTTGTCGCCATACTGCTAATATTCCGAGGATCGTATTATCAAGAAAGCCATGAATGCACCACAGACACACACAGACAAGTAGGTCATGTCTCGCCCCCAAGTCGTTCTCACATCTATTATGCTTCCCATGCTATAAGTCCCCCCCGCCGCCGGGCTTGCTGTATCTGCACGTGAGTATGCGGCCCCACAGGCGGAAGTTGTCCGTCGTAATGCCGAAACACATCAAATACAGGTACCTGCCCTCACACACACGCGCAGAGGGGAGGAGAGGCGTGCAAGAGCGTCGTCCCTTCAGCGCCCAGACATGCGATACGTACGGTACCCAGTTGCGACGGCGAATAGCTGTTTGACATCGATGGTCTCGTCTGATCCGAACTCCATCCTACGCCACGCCCACAGACACACCAAAGACATGCGTGGCTGCTCACAGGGAAAGAGAAACAGAACGGAGCCTACATGAGATATTTCGCCAGTGACACGATCTCGTGCGACAGCAATCCAATGCCTGACATACACAGCCGCGCGAACGAAGGAGACACTCGTGTGTCTCTGGATGCATCGATGAAATGAAACCGTGTCTGTCTTCCTCACCCACCCCCCCCCGCCCACCAAACCCACTGACTGACCAAAGAGCAGCAGCAGAGCCCAGCATCGGATTATGGGTGCATATTTGTCAGGGTGGTACCGGTAGCTGCCCAGACACCTGCGCCGCCTCCCTGGCTCCTCTACTCGCCCCTGCCAGTCGGCCGTCACGTCTACCGAGTCGCTCTCTGTCACGGGAGCGCTGCCCTCCTCCCCCCCTTGATCGTCCCGTGGCCCTTGCCCTTCCACCGGGGCGGGCATGCTGCTGTGGTCGGGCTGGGCGGTCACCATTGCTGTAGTCGTGCCTCGGCGCTTTTCTCGCATGTTGCGGCATGTTTCACTGATGAGGTAGTGGCCCACAACTGACACAGGGAGGGAGGGAGGGAGGGAGGGGCAAGGGATTTGTGGGAGGGTGGGAGGGAGGGAGGGAGGGAGGGAGGGTGGCTGGTTGGTATACTTACTGAGCATGGATATGAGCATGAGTGATCTGACGACGATGGGGAGGATCTGATAGACCGTCAGCCGAAGCCACTCGGGAGAGTCGATGCCGCAGCTGCATCCCAATACACACACGACATACGTCGATTGCAGAACTGGGGGCTCGTCTGCCGCTCACAAGGCAACGACCCTGATGGCGCCGTAGTGATGCACGAGGACGAAGATCGCACCCAACAGGCCCAGCGACCAAATGACACTGAATAGAACGCACGCAGACAGAGAGATGACGCAAAGAGGGATTCTAGATGGCTCACGCGTGGTAGGAGAGTTCTAGGCATCTGATGCTGCCGAGGTCGATCTCGTCGCCTCGGAAGTGCAGCAGCAGCGTCATGTTGAACCCAATCATCGCAATCCTTACCAACATCAGCAAACGAAAAGAAAAAGAGATAAGAAAGGACACCTATTTGGTGCACTGACGGCCCTCGTTAGTTACCAGAGGAGGCCGGAGAACTCAGCGAGCAACTGCAGGGCCGTCTCCATGACACAGCTGCACAACGCATACAAGCAAACGATCCATGGCATGGCGGGATCGTGTGCGTCTCCTCTCTTCCCTCCAGCCTCACTATCGATGAGTCCATCTGAAGCCCCGGATGAGATCCTTCCTCAGCTTGTCGTCCCTCGCATCAAGCGAGAAGGATATCCCGTTCCACAGGTACGGCTGCAGCCTCGACGCAAGTGTGATGAGCATCAGCACATTCACCACCAACAGACAGCAAAACGCCGGCAGATGCAGCCGCGCGGGGAATGTCATCTTGTCCACATAGCCGTCTTCAGGTGCCGGCACGATCGAGTAGGACCGTGACTGCCTCCCCCCACCGGCACCCCGTTCAGCCGACGCTTCCGAGGCGATGGAGTCCCTCTGCACCGCTGTGCGGAACAGGGGGGTCCTTGGGGGAGGGAAGAATGGCGACAGCACCCATGTGAGCAGCAGGATGACGTAGCAGACGACCGAGCCAAGACAGATGAAGAGCAATGTCTTGAGCCGCCGATTGACGTCACGCACGTTGTCGGCGATGTCCGCCAGAGCCATGGGACACTGCAAATGAATCAATCGTCCACTCACACCAAGCGCATGCAGTCGTCTGTCTGTCTGTCTGTCTGTCTGCACGGCTCACCATGCTTTGTCCGCCTTGTGTTTGGTCTTTTGGAGGCGGTCTGTCGTATGTGGGGCTCTGCGGCTCATCAGGGCCACCAACTGCAGTGAGCATGGCCGCGGAAGGCAGACTGTCGCCCTCATTCGTCAAGGCGCACAGGGGTGCGAACGACGAGTGGCCTGCCAGCACCGACGCGGCTGAGAGAAACACCAGCAGCCACAGCATTGTTTCGGGTCGTCAGGTCTTCCCCAGGGGGCGTCTTTTGCCCCCCTAGTTTTGCCCCCCTCGCTTAGCTCGCAGACGGCGGGGCGAGAGAGAAAAGGAACACGCCGATTGCGAAGATGAATGGGGGTTCAGCAGATCTGTGTTTCAGCGCGTATCCGTTCCTTGCGGATCTCGGCCTTGCTGAGTCCAACCTGGGTGTCTACCTCGGCGACGGGCAATGGGCAGGATCCGGCCCGCCCATGACGAGCGTCAATCCAGCTACAGGCCGAGTCATCGGCAGGGTGACGTCCGCCACGCCAGATGAGGTGGAGCGGTGTTTGGCGAAGATGGAGGCCAGCAAGGGCGTGTGGATGAACATGCCGGCACCAAAGAGGGGAGAAATCGTCAGGCAGGTGACTGACTGAACTGACACGAATGCATGACATGACGTCCGGACGACCTTTGGTCTGTCTGTCTGTGTTTGGTGCTCTTTCAGTTGGGTGATGAGTTGCGTGCGAACCTGGAGAGCCTGGGTATGTTGGTTGCCCTGGAGATGGGCAAGATCAAGGCCGAAGGGATCGGCGAGGTGCAGGAATTCATCGACATTTGTGATCTGGCTGTCGGCATCAGCAGACAACTCGAAGGCAAAGGTAGGTAGGGACGCACGCAGGCACTCCACACACGCAGATGGACAGACAGACAAGGCTGACAGACATGTGCGTGTCGTCCACCTGTCCATCAGTCTTCCCCTCCGAGCGTCCCGGCCATGCGTTGATGGAGTGCTGGCATCCACTGGGCACCGTCGGCATCATCACCGCCTTCAACTTCCCCGTCGCGCCTCTCGGATGGTATGTATACGTATTGATGTGCATTGGATGGCCATCACCCCACCATCCACGCCTACCATCTGCCCCTCTCTCTTCACACAGGAATCTGTCCATATCTCTGGTTTGCGGCAACTGCAATGTGTGGAAGGGCGCCGATACGACGCCGCTCACGTCAGTGGCCGTAACGAAGATCGTGGCCCGAGTGCTGGAGAGGAACGGCCTGCCGGCGGGTGTGTTTTGTCTGCTGACCGGCGACGGGCCGACCGTGGGCGAGCGGATCGTCACCGACAAGAGGGTCGCACTCGTGTCGTTCACAGGGTCCACCAAGACGGTACGCCCGCATCATCACACACAGCAGAGAGCAGAGTGGAGGGATGAGTGTCCGTGTGTGTGGTCAATCACACACACACACACATACATATGGTGTGGCGTGGTGTGGTGTGTGCGTCACGGTGTCATGGGCAGGGTCGTGGCATTGCGCTGAAGGTTCAGGAGCGGTTTGGCAAGAGTGTTTTGGAGTTGGGGGGCAACAACGCAAGCATCATCATGGACGATGCCAACCTCGACATCGCCATCAGAGGCTCGGTGTTTGCCGCCGTTGGCACCTGTGGTCAGCGGTGCACGAGCCTCAGGCGGCTGCTGGTCCACTCGAGCGTCTTCGACACAGTCATGACCAAACTCAAGAACGCATACCAGAGGTCAGGATGGGGAGAGAGAGAGAGAGAGAGACTTTCTGTCAGCCACACACGTGAGTGCGCGTGTTTCGTTGTTGTGTCTCTTGTTTCCCTGCATGGCATGCAGTGTGTCCAAAACGGTGGGCGACCCCCTGGACAGCAAGACGCTCTGCGGCCCCCTGCATAACCAACAAGCCAAAGACAAATACTTCTGGGGTCTCGACCAGGTCGTTTTATTGACCAACCCTAAGCAACACAACTCACACAAACAGAGAGAAACCGAGTGTGTGTATGTGTGCAGATCAAGTCTCAGGGCGGAGTCATCCACTACGGCGGCACTGACATCGAGAGGCCCGGGTACTATGTGACGCCGACGCTGGTGGAGATCTCTCCCAACGCGCCCATACTCAACGAAGAGATCTTTGCGCCCATCCTATACGTCATCAAATTCGACACGCTCGATGAGGTGAGTGGGCGTCGGCATCATATGACGCCTATGGGTGTGCAGAGCTTTGACCTGTGTCCATTTGTGGAATGTTTATGGTATTTGTCACATGAATGAAATGGCAGGCCATTGCCATCAACAACAGTGTGCCACAGGGCCTTTCGTCGTCCCTCTACACACAGAACATAGCCAACATCTTCACATGGATCGGGTAGGCAGCCGCCGCGGCTGCCAGCACAGCAACACACACCCATCCTTCACCTCACCCTTGCACTCATCCATGCATCCGTCATGTGTGTCTTCCCACAGCCCCAGTGGTTCTGACTGCGGTTTGGTCAACGTCAACATCGGCCCGTCAGGTGCCGAGATCGGCGGTGCCTTCGGGGGCGAGAAGGAGACGGGCGGCGGCAGGGAATCGGGATCTGACGCGTGGAAACAGGTGGGTATGTATGCACAAGGGCGAATCGACGCATGTGGGCGAGGCGACCCATCGTCTGTGTGACTGCGTGTGTGTGTGTGTGTGTGTTTGCGTGTGTGCCAGTACATGCGTCGCGCCACGTGCACCATCAACTACTCCAAGGAACTGCCATTGGCACAGGGCATCAAGTTTGATATCGACTGATGAGCATCAGCATGGCCGTGTGTGGTATGGCCCGAGTGTGTCGGTGCATGGCGTCTCTTTTGTAGCTAGCCTCTCTCTGCGTGCGACAGGCGCTTTGTGGTCCCGCGCGGTGCGGTGCGGTTGTCGTGAGTGGTTCCGTGTTTGTGTCGTTTTATTTGTTGTTTGTTGTGCGGTGATGTGATGACACGCGACGGGGACACCTTGTGTTCATAATACAAGATATACACACGGTTACGCGTCCCTCTAGGCACGAAAAGAGCCGTACATGGTCCGGACAAAAGCAAGCATACTCAAGCAGCAAATCGCTTCAGCAGCGATATGTCGATGGGCTGGTCAGGAGCGGCGGTCTCTCGGCCCCTCCCTGCCCCCTCCCCCGTCCGCGCTTCTTCCCTGAAGGCCTCGGCAAGCTTTCTCTTGCCCGTCGGACGCCCGCTGCTGGATGATAGTGCATTTTCATCAGCAGCAGCGGCTCTTTTCAGACTCGCCAGAAGCCTCCGCATCTTGTCCTTCCTCTCCTCCTCCTTCTCCTCATCCCTCCCAACCGCATCGTCGTCAGCTTCGCCTTCAGCCTCAACACGTTTGGCCTCCTTCATAGACCTCTTCTGCTGTATCTTTGCCTGGCGCCTGGCCTTCTCGACCTGCTCGAGGTAGTGCTGGTCCTCCCTCTTGCTCTGAGCAAGCTGGGCCTGCAGGCGGTACTGCCGGACGTTGCGCTTGTAGACGGCGTGCTCGGTGAGGTGGTGCCACTTGAACTTGGGGAGGTACCGCACACACCAGATGTCGTCCCTGTAGATATTGTGGCGCTTCCTGCCGCCCACGGGGGTGTTATTGAGGGAGGCCGCCACACGCTTGGCCACTCGCTTGTCGAGGAACTCCACCCAACCATCGACGAACCGACGCTTCCTGTTGCCGCCACTCTTCACACGACGCGCGAACGTCACTGATTGACGGATGGGGCCAACAAAAGAAACAGGCCAGCCATCCGAATGTGTCTGTGTGTGTGTGTGTGTGTGTGTGAGCGTATGTTGTGCTGACTGACCTTCGTCTTCTGGAGTGAGGAAGATGCGTCCGACCTGCCCGAACTGTGACATCGTGTGCCGTAGCTTGTCCACCTGCATGTAGGGCGGCACCTGGGACAGATAAACAACGCCCTTGCGGTCTGCAGAAAAGCAGAATGGCAACACAGGGACCAACGAGTGGGATGGATAGACCACACCTGAAGGATCTTACCCTCTTTCGCCTCGAATCGCCTCACGGCTTCTTGTTGCTCACTGTCAGCCATCCTGCAACGTTTTTTCTGCAGCAGCGCTTTCAGCCCCGTTTTCTCCCGTGCACGTTCCCGTGCGAGCTCAACTGGCAGTGCGGATACTCGCGAACTGCGTCATTTCATTTCCCTCAACGATCTGGACGTCGCCTGTGATCCGGCAAGTCGCATGCGGAGGAGTCCCCGCCCATCTGCAGTGAGCCTGTCTGTTGTTGCCTTCTCGCTTGAGTGCAACGTCGGTTCATCGCCTGACCCACATACATACCCACAGCATCCGCCTTCATGCACATTACATACGCCGTCTCAGCCATTGTGTTCTTTTCTGTCGTAATCGGCGCGAGGAAGGCGAGGAGAGCCACTGACTATGGAGTTTTAGCCCTCGGCTTTCCTCTTTGCCATGGGTCGGCCCTGTCTGCGGCGCTACGTGCCCGCCTCTCTTGGAAACCAAGACAAACAGCAGGCAATCCAAAGCTGAAGAGAAGAGGTAGGTGAGATGGAAAATGCTCAATTCACCATGCATGTGTCATCATAGATCCTCTTCCTTCTCACAGGTTTGTTTTCGTCGTGGTCGCCTCGGGCTGTCTCCCCCTTATTTGTCCCCTTGCCGACTTCCACATCACTGCTGCAGACCGAGAATGCAACCAAGACAGTCAACTCGCCCCCCGTCTGTGGCTGCGAAGCAGAAGTAGAGAGAATGAATGAGGCAATGCTCGACCGAATCCGCCAGAGGAACCCTTTTTACCCAGCCTGTGCCAACGACTCACACGCCTGCTGTCAGTATACTGCATACCCGGCCTACGCCGTGAGGAGCTGGATGAAGGCGAGGTTGAGGGCGAGAGGACAGCCGAAATGATTGGGTGGACCGCTGTTTGGCTGGCGAAGAGCCGGGAGCCGCGGTATCAGTGCGAGCCGGTGTGTCCGGAAACATACGAGTCGCAGTGGGACAAGGGCACACTGACTTTGCAGATCAAAGACGGAAGGACCATTGTGGATAGGAGGATGCAGCACGAGGCCACCGACAGCATTGCGCCGGTTGGGGAGGACGTACATGTAGAGGAGAGAGGGGAGACACGGATGGTGCAGGCGCCACGGAATATGCACAAAGCGGCGGCGCTGCTCGCACCTCGAAGGAAAGCGGCAGAATCACAAGGGCAACAGACACGAGCTAAAAGTTCGAGTAAGGGGTCGACTCATCTGACGACAATGGCCCTTCTGCTTCCGTCCATGAGAGGTTCTGGGCCATTCTTTCCTCTGGTCGGTCATCATGCCGGTGAGGATAAGTGAGAAGCGGACTTGTGCTTCTAGTGACAACCGCAGCCAGTACAGAAGACCTTTAGCACCGACAGCGAATACCAGCAGAAGACCATGACTGAAATTCGCTAACCTAGGTCCCTCGATCGACCAAGACGCATCCCTTCTCCATCTACTCATCGTTGTCGCAGCAGGCACGTTTCGCTGCACACACACACACACACATCAACAAATGCACATATAGAGGACAAGTCGCAATCATGGTGGTGTTGATAATATGCGTACGGCAATGGACGAAGCACGATTCCTGCTGTTCGGGCAGGACTGCTGTCTTGATGACGCATGAGCCGTCAGGCACCATGTGGTCGTGCTCGGGACACGGATCCGACAACTCACCCTTGAGGCACACATCCAGCCACAGATGACGACATGGATGCTACACTGGTGGTATAGAATGTCTCTCTGTGTCTCCCTCCCTCTCTGGCCCACTGGCGTGAGTGCGATTCGTATATTGCGGCGTCTGGTGCCGGGGCCGCAGGACGCCGAGCATGCCGTCCAGTCGGTGTATCCCACGGCACACTCACGGGCTGCCACGAACAGAGGGGGAAATTCTTCCTGCTCGCGTCTGCCTCTGTCTCGTTACTTCACTTGCTGACCTTTGTAGCACAATCTGAAGTACTGGTCTTGAACAACGGATAACTTCTTGTTCTTGACCTGATTCTTGTACCACTGCTTCACTTCGAAAAACCCCAGCCCGCCTGTGTCCAGGTCCTCACAAATGGTGTCGACGGCGCTCTCGATCGTCCCATCAGAGCTTGCCCCGAGCTGCTGACGGGCTCTGTTCCGCTCAGTAGCCCCCACGCTGGCCAAACCGCCGGGAGCTGTCCGCTTATCGTGTTCGGCGCTCCAAGACGCGTTTCTTGATATGTTGGCCACTTGTTCAATGAATCCTGAGCCCTCACCGCCGGCAGGGCCAAGGAGGTCTCTTACGGCTTTCCAATCAGCCTGCGAGAGACCTGCTGCCGAGTTGTTGCTCAGGTGGTCATCGAAGATGCCTGTACTGTTGACGTAGTGCACGTGTTCGTAGTCAGCCTGGGTCGTTCTGTACAGCCGGTGTGCTTGTTGTGGGGACTCATGTTGTGTCTGGACGAAGGATGAGACGGCAGAAGTGTTGAGAGGGCGCCTGACGAGCATGCGCCGATCAGACTCATAGTAGCGGGGTGTGTATGGAAGGCCGGGACTGCCCCTTCTGTTCCACCGCACTCGTAGATAACTGCCTGCGGGAGCGCACCAAAGCGACGACACAGCAGGGCTTCACGAGGCATGGAGCGTGGCTGGCTCACTGGGGTGTGTGATGGCAGGGCATGGCTCGAGCGAGATCTCGCCGACGTAGAATTCCTTCAGCGCCTCAGCGTCTTCTTTCGTTAGCGACCTCTTTAACACACGATGCAGCTCGCTCACTGCGTCCAGATAGAGCACCTGAATACATGAGGCACAAGTACACACACAACGATCTTCGGATGTCCTGGTGTTTGCGTGAACCTGTGGCGTCGCCTGACAGACGTCCTCCTTCTGTGGATTGGCCGCTCCTGTGATGTCGCTCAGGTCCTCCTGGAAGTCAGCACTTGGTAGCGCTTCATCTTCAAACAAATGGTCACGAACAATGATGCTGACGATCGACTCCTCAAGCAACCTTCAGCACACAACCACAGACATACATTCAGAACAGACACACACCAAAGTCAGCACATCGTACCTCGGTTTTTCTGCGGAATTCTTATTCTGCTCGCCCTGCAGGGCCGGTCCCACAAAGTAGCCCTCACTAGATGCCCGCATATCGGCTGCGGCAAAGGCGGCGAGAAAGCCTCGGGGGAGCAACTGTGGCTCGCAGAAGGTCAGTGGTTCGAGCGATGGCTTGACAAGGGTCCAACCGCGTTCCCGGGGGAAGAAGAAAAGTCCTTGGGGAGAGCGGGACGGGTCGGCCTTGATCACATGATATTCGAGAACTGGGAGACAGGGACATGCAAGAGGCAAGCATCGATATCCCCATGGAGGAGTTCTTGCGTACGGTAAGTGATGACGAGCGCCTTGAATAGTCGGGAATAGGTCGTCGCGTCACAGTAAGTGTATTCGCCCTCACGGGAGTCTTCGCCAGCTGGCCGCCTGATGCCCCTGTGTGCATGAAAGTCAAACGTCACAGAAAGACACTGCAGCGGGTCTGCATTGATCGCTGCTCTCCCTACCTGATGTAGAAGGTGACAGAGGGGCAAGTGCCTCCCTGACGAACCTTAGGGCCGATGCGGTACTTGCACCACTCGCCATCATACTCTATGTGCGTGCACGGATCAAATAGAGGCATACACACGCATCCGCGCGTATGTGTGGCTCTTTCAATCACTCACCACATCTGTTGTAACACCTCTTGTAGCCGGCCATAGCGACTGGTCTACCGGCTGCGTCCACAGGAGGGCAGCGGCCCTGACGCCCGTCCCAACCCTCGGCCGCCGGCACCTGCACCACCATTCAATGCAGAGACATGCCCACAGGGCAATGCAGTCGTCAAGTCTTCCTTACCAGGATGGATCGTTCCAGTCGTTGTCTGCCCATGCCGCAGCCTGCATCGGGATCGTCATACTCGCACCGCAGCTCTCTCACCGTCAACTCAGATACTACGCAATCCTTCGCTGATACACGACCAGGAGAGCACAGACATGTGTCAACACATGATTCGATCTGTGTCGGTCTTGCTCACGGCATTTGAGTTCGCATGGCTCCTCTTCCATCAGTCTCATCTCGCCGGGCAGCACGCAGTCTTTTAGCTTCGATTTGGGGTTGAACTTCATGTGCTCATCGTACAAGTTCTGCACAATTTTATACGGTGAAGGTCACCAGTGGACCGACAGCGTCTTCTGCTCACCCGTTTTCTTCTCCTTCTACCCGCGTCAGGCCCGCAGAGGTCCTGAGGGCCGTCCGGTGGTGGATGACAATCAGTCCAGCCGGCCCAATGAACGTCCAGACACGTGCGCGCTGAAGATAGAGAGGAGACACAGCGAAGGAGGAGACACATCAAAGCTTGGTCTTCTCTGTCTTGTCTGCCTGCCAACAAACTTACGAAAGAAGCAGATCATGGCCCTGTCCGTGTAAGATATCTGGTCGTAGTTGTGGGGCCGCTGGCCGAGCGGGTCACCCCACGGCTGGTCGTCCTTCCCCCAGGGCGCTTTCGGATGGGGCCACGCGCCCTCTGTGACGAGGCTCTCGTCCATCTGATGGTCGTGGTAGAGCTGCCGGACGGCAAACGACGCCACTCGTGAAGCCTTGTTGAATGTGAGATGGAGGTGGGCAAAGGATGAGATCCGCTGGGTGTGTGCGACACCCTGACATGTGCCGGAAATGTCCATCCCACCCACGAAAATCGCTGCAGGCAGATACGAGGGAGACAGCTGATTGTGTGTGCTTGCTGCCCTCTTCTGCTCACTTACTTTCCAGCTCTTCGGCGAATTTCCCAAGGTCCTCGACCAGCCTTGGCTGCTGCTGTGGTCTCAGCTTGATGACGGCTGGGTTGTTCGTCTGCTCGACTCGCGGCTTGAGATAGTAGCTGCGACCATTGTACGCCATAGGCCCACCGAAGACGATCGAGTGATCCATTGGAGGGCTGCCTGTCTCCCCTGTACCTGTAGAAGACAGACATGGAGTGTGATGTGCCAAGCCTCATCGGGCCCACCGATAAATGTGGCTGTTCCCTCAAAAGGTCCCTCAATTCGATGAATGAGCGAGGCCCAATACGTCTCATTCGCTATTGGCTCCTGCACGAGTGCGAACTCCACGCCCATTCTGTATCTGTCGCGGCACACGACCGCCTCGAGCATGGTGTGGTCGATGAGGTAGCTATCCTTGTCAATGCTGGCGTTCCGCAGCACGTGGTCATGGCACTGGGTGTCCTCGGTCAGGAAGAGGGTAGTCACTCTGAAGGAATGCTGGGAGGCAATGGATGTCCACTGCTCATCCAGATCTGAAGTGGTTGGACGAATAGAAGGAGATATCGCGGGATGTGTTTGTGGATGCGTCTCTATGGTGCACCAATGAGGCTCCTGAGTACGGTGCCTATCTTGTAGCCTCTGTCCGGCAGTCCCTCACACACAGTCTGCCTCCAGTCCTCAGAACCCTCCGGCAGCACGCCTCTACGATGCATCCACAGAAGATGTCATTCCATGCTGGGTTTCCTTTCCTGCCTGAAGGTTTACACCTGAGGAATATGATGATTTGATAGCACTTGCTGTCACAGTCGGCCAGCATGTTGACCGTGTACTTGCACCAAGCGCCCTCGTACTCTGACGACAAAGCAGACAGACAAATGCTTGTACGTGGGTCCTTTCTTCAGCTATGTCTGTGTGTGGCCTTCGCTCACTGCACGGCTTTCCGCACGGCACAGTCTTTTTCGGCAGGACGCATTTTTCTTTCCCATTCAGGGGCTGGGTGAAATCCGGCACAGAAGCCTTCTTTGGTACTCGGCCAAGCCCCCCTTCTTGCCGCACTTGAGACGCCCGCTGTTGTACTCGCATTTGGGAGGGTTGTTCCCATCCTCACCGCCCACCGTCTCCCAATCACCGAGAAGACATTCAGCTGCGCGTGAGTGGCAGAATGGAAGGGAGAGGACATATAACTCATTCATGTTCAATTCGTTGTGCCGGTGGTGTTCGGTTGCATACTCACTGCATGGTGTTTGACATTTGTAGTAGTTGTCTGCTGGAGAGAACAGTCCCATGGTGGACGGGTGGAGTGGAGAAGGACGGCCGCCAGGCACAGGCACCTCGCTGTAGACGCGACCTTCATAGATAGACAGACAAAAGATCGACCCGACCCGTGTGCGGTGCGTGAGTCAGTGAGGGCGCCCAGCCAGATGTGCTTACTGTCGAAGAGGCATCTGCGTCGCCTGATGTCGTGATATTCCATGCTCTTGTTCACACACTGATACACCTGAACAACGCGCAGCCACACACCACGAACGCCGCTGTGGGCAACCAACCAAGCAGCTACAATGTCGGTACCGAATCGTGCAGCGTTCTCCTGAGGACTCTCGACCGTGGGCCACACTCGTCTGCCCTTTCGGGCATGTACCTGCAGTCTTTTTCAACAACCTCCATCCTCCAAGTTCTCTGCGACGACCAGTCGATGTCGTAATCGTCAAGTGCGTCTGCGCCGCTGAGGGATGTGTTGCGTTGCCACATCACGCCGCCACACAAATACGCTGCGGACAAGGGATCGTGGATAAAGACACACACATTAATGTCCGTGTCTTCATCGTCGCTCCTCCAGACTCACGGTAGAAGCACACTCGCCATTCCTCCTTCCCCCCCTAGGCCATGTGAGGCGTGTGAGCGCCACCGGCTCCGTCGCCGGCGAGCCCTCAGCGACAAACTGCTCCTGATACTTCCGAAAGTATGGTGTGATTGTCACATGAGGCGGGAGAGTGCCATCGGCCGATCCTTCATGCATGTGTATCTGCACGCGCAGGAAGCTCCCGCGGTGCCGGGCGGTGCAGCGAGACGACTGCCCACTGGGTGGGTCACGGTGATAGCTGAACCAAGAACAAGAAGAACAGAGTGACGGAGCAATGCATGTGATGCCTCAGCCGTTTACGGGAGAGCGAGGTAGAATGACTCGAGCGACATCTGCTGGACGTCCGTGTTGTTTGTCCGCTCCGCGACATCGTTAAGCAGTTTTGCAAAGTGCCCGTCGGGTAGTGTGGATGACGCTTTCTCCTCTGGTCGGGCAGGGATGACTTCCATCCAGTTCGGTGAGGGGCGGTATTGAATTGTATCGATGTTCCTCTTGCTGTCGTGCACCTCTGAAAGAATCTCCATGTCCTCATCTACACGACCAGACGCACAAAAGAGAGTGACACAGGCGACAATTAGTCAATCGTTACCCGGCCAAACGATTTGACTGGCGGCCTTTTCAATCACACAGTCCGCTGCTTGTTTCCCTTTCTCTCCCCCTTTTAACGCATCGACGGCTAGCTCCTCGGCCAACCGACGCACCAATGCGTCACGATAGAGGCAATAGTCGACTCTCTGTACCAGTTGGTCGTCACACATCGCCATGATGTAGCCCTGCAAATCTGTCTCGGGAAAGAGCCAGGGGATGGCATCGCGTGACGGGCTCTTGGCGGATGACGCAAACACAGTGGGAAGATCTGCACAGCAGAAAGGAACGGTAGAGAAAGCTTTGTCATGTCTGTGTGTGTTGTGCGAACGTGAGAGCAGCTTGAGAGCCATCTGCAGGTGTTGTCTCCTGTGACAGTGTTGTCGGCAATGAGCATCAGAGCGTCCTCTCTGTCTACCTGTGAGGTATCTGCTGTACGTCACACACGATGTTTGACGTGGACGTCGCACCGGTGGCCGACAGGCGAGGCACTGTTCTCAAACCTCTAAATACAAGAGAAACCAGACACACAGTGTCACATGCGCTTATGTCTGTGTCCTCTAACTAGCCCTACCTCATGAATACAGTGACCGAGCTGCATCCGTTTTCTGTCGTCCAGCTGTATTGGCAGAACGGGCCAGGGGCTGACCAGACAGACAGACAGACACGCACACGTACGTACACGTACGTGTCCGTGTCTCATTGACTTACTGCAGTCGATTTTGCAGTCGATCAGTTTGATGTCCGGCATTCGATCGCTTCCCTCTGGCTCGAAACACACTCCACGATACGAACCCTGAACGACAGGCAGGCAGCGCACCTGTGCATCTCTATCCGGTGTACAATGTGGAAAGTGTAGCATACGGGTGCGCCCTCTCCCTTGTCGGGGTCTCCCCTTGCGCCGTAGATGAGGAACTTAGTCCTCACTCCTGCCTTGGGTCCGCAATAATACAGCCCCTCCACTTTTGGCAGACACCCTTTACCATCGTCCTCATACTTGCCCTCACAGGCCACCTCTGCACACACACAGAGACACACAGAGACACTCACAGGAAGGCACGGAAAGCAAATCCAGCACTCCTCTCTCCGCTCACTTTCGAAGCACACGTTCCAGCGGTCGTCATGCAGCACAAGAGGCGGGTGCAGAACCACAGGTGGCGCCGAGCTTTCGCCATGAGCGGTTTTTTGCTCAGTCTGCTGACTCCGGTACACCCGCGACACGTCCACTTGCGAGCCGTCGCGTGTCGTTTTGACGTGGATGAGAGACCCCCGCCTGAATGAGTATGGCCGTCCCGGCCGGCACGCCTCGCGCCTGAAGTAGTCATCGATCTGGTCAGCTGGGACGCCAAAGCCGGCATACACCTCCTCGTAAAGACGGGACGCAAAGCCGGAGGAGCTCAGACCGTGGAAGGAATCCTTCTGCACAAGAGAAGTGGTATGGCCCGTCATCCATTGATATATGTACTCTCTTACGTCGATTGTCTCTGAAGTGTTTTCCCGCATGAACGTCTGGATGAGCTGCTCCCGGTCGCTCATCTGCTGCCACAGGGGCTTGTCATCGAAGAGGGGACGGCCGCTTTGAGGGTCGATGTTGCGTGCCATGGCCTTCTTGTGTTCCTCTCCATCGACAGCCAGGGACAGGCAGTACTTGGGCGGACAGGGAAGCGAGACATACGTCTCCGAGGAGTCGGGCAGCGTCACAACATCCAGATGAATGGACTGCCTGAGAAGAAAAACCACAAGAGGACCGACAGACAGACAAATAGATACATCCATCCCATATAGAGTGGCAGCCACTCACCCCATGGAAATCTCCAGGTTGTCACAACACCCACTGTAGGTGAGGCTGGTGCGGCACTTGAGGCACTTGAGCAAGTCCGGCAGGAGCAGAGAGTTGTCGCAGTAGTACATTCGCTCGGGAAAGAACGCACTGCTACCAGTCCGCCGCCGGCGGGGGAGCCAGAACAGGCCCCGTGAAGAGCGTGAATGGACCTCCAATTCCATCTCTGATCGAGGGCTTCAGACATAGACGGTCAAAAGCAGTGCCTGCCTGCTAGATGGGCTTGTCGCTCACCTTTGATTGCCAAGAGGAATTTCCAGATTGCCTCTACCCTGCCCAGTATCTGGTCCCGGCGGCGGGATGGGCACTGTGCTACCGCCCTGCTGAGATATATCCTGCACACCACTGCATCAAGAGTGAGACACGAGGCAAGATAGACAGACAGGGATCAGACAATGACAGAAAGATGAACGACAGAGCGGACCTCATGATGATGGCAATGATGGGCAGCTCCTTGCAAGGGGTGATGTCGGGGTGGAAATGTGGGCTTTGTTTCATATACACTTCGTACAAACACCAGCCCTCCCTCTCTGAACAGAGGCGGCGAGAGCCCATTCGTCGACGACAAAGGCCCATGATGTCGCATACCGCATTCCTTGTTGCACGGCTCTTGTCTGTTGTCGTGATCCCACTCTGCCTTGAGGGTCTCGTACTCCTGCTGGCATACCCCGGGCGGCTTGTGGCCCCTCCTCAAATCGTCGATCAGAATTCCCCCACCACGACCATCCTGTGGACACACACAACCATCAGTGACGTGTCTGCATTTGGCCGTTCGCCTTCCCTGTCTCCTACCTCCCACTCGGGTATATATGTCTGTGTGCCGGGCCCGCAGTTGGCGTCGAGGCGGTGCGATACCACACACGGGCCCTTCATGGCCTCCCTAACCCGATACGCATTCATCGCTGGTAGAGAAGGCGCGACACAAGATTCAAGAGAGGATGTAGCGTGTCTCTGTCTCTGTCTCTTACGGCACTCCTCCATCCTGCATCTTTTGAGCACGCGATAAAGGTGCTTTGCCTTGCCGCCCAATTCCGCAGCCTCCCAGTTGCCATCGAGGTAGTACTGGCTGGGTCCAAACTCCGCTGTAAGGTCGTCCTGGAGTGCCGACACCTCACCTAGGGTTTCAGTTGCACAGACAAGCCAGAGGGCCTCGCCTTCGCAAACATTGATTGCGCTGACGTGTGCTCACACGCATCTCCTTCTGGCTTGTCCGGGGCGTGTTGGCATATCGGCTCGTCCTCGGTCAGTCGCCACGGGGGCTGGTCTATCTTTACTGTCGTCGCTTCTGGGCAGTACACGTGGTACCTCCCTCGCGGTCCGAGGCCACACCCTCCCTGAGCAGAAAAAAGAGTCGCCATCCTCCCTCCCTGCCTCCTTTTCTGCTCACATACGTAGAGCGTGGCTCTCATAACGACAGCACAGTGTTTGGCTCCGTGGAATATCCACACGCCACAGCTCATGTCTCTCCGCAGCCCTAGGCCGCTGATCTCTCCCATGCCCTCTTGCTGGAAGCGGTCCGTGAAGGCGTGATGCGGCGGGACTATGGGGTTGGCCACGCTGTCTTTGTCGCAGGTGTGAGTGTCGAAGCGCCGGTCGTCGAGCAGACGGTAGGGCGGGGTGCACCCCAGCCATGTAAGCATGTCGACGCACGGTGAGACCCCTGAATGACGGATGGCAAAAACGGTGGAGTCTCGTTCTTGTTTTTTCTGGCGGATTGATTGGATGCGTACCGTTCGGTGCATCCACGCTGCTCACGCCAGGAGATGGGCAGTTGGCAGAAGTCATCACGCGATATCTCCCCTCCACGGCACCGGCCTCCCCAGCGGTCATCCCCTGTCTGAAGGCTGTCAACACGCCCACAATCCCCCCACCGAAACCTTTGTTGGCGCCGCAATCGTTGGAGACATACCACTCCAGCTCTCTGTCTGCTGGGAGCTTTGATTCGGGGCCGGTGGGGAGGCGGACGGTCGTGGAAGTCTTCATGACGACGCACTCTCTCTGCGGCTGGCCGGCGTGGTCCGTGAACTCCACCAAAATGGAGTGCAGACGCAGGGAGGGGGACTCTGCACACAAACATACGGGCCAGCCAGTTTCAGATAAGGCAGGTGCCTGGCTGCCGGCGTGCGCGTGCTACCCGGCTCTGTGGTCGTTGCAACCGATCTCGCCACCTCACTCCATCGTGATATCCGGAACGGCGTCTTGCCCTCCCCCATCACCACATTAGCACTCTTCACGAACCTCACATATAGATCCTCCCCCCATCGGCTCGTCCACAAATCCCTGTCGCATCCACGATACCGCTCAGGTTTCCTCCAAGCCGGCCCGTATAGCAGCCCCTCAGACACCAGCTGCCGTCGATATAGGCCATTCGGCGCCCTCACACACAGAGAGCTGAAGCGGAGTGCGTCTGACGGCTGCAGGAGGCCGTGTGTGATGTGTGGGTCTGCGGGGATATCCTCTATGTCCGATGTGTGTGTAGCGTATGCGGGCGTGACGTGCAGGCAGCGATTGAATGGCCGGCTGGCGTAGGACCCGTGGCCCTGACCCAGGAAGAGGTGTGCTGAATGAATGCATCAGATATGTATGCCCGTGACATGTATGTGCGATTGTCTGTCTGGCCCAGGCCTCCCTCACTTTCTTGCCATTTGCCGTCGATGCAAATCTCCCCGATGTCGCCATTTGCCCACTCATAAGGGCCGCCTTCCAGATCTACACACGTATGCGATGAGAGAGGAAAGAAACGGAAATAAGACTCTTGAATGCAATGCATCTTCCACACGTACCCAGCAGAGTGGCCAGGTAGTTCTCTGGCGGGATGACGTAGCCCTCTGAGCTTCTCGCATTGACCGGCGACCGCATATGATTCTGCATATCCTCGCAACTTGACCATGACACAAATACACGCACACACGTGTGTTCACTTGCCACTAATGGATATGATGCACCTCATTCATTCATGCCTCTGGCTCACTCACTCACCCCGTGAATCGCGTCTCGTCAAAGGGCACATACACACGGACCTTCATGGCCATCAACGCCCGAGCCTGCCATGCCAACAACGCAACCCACCAATCAGCCTCTCACCCCCGTATCTCATGCGCCTGCCCCGCCCTGCCCTCTCTTTCACCCCACCTCCTTTCTGGAACCCGCTGTGTCGGGCTGCCAGCCGATGTCCCTTGTGTCCCTCCTCCATGGGTTGGCCACATCAAAATGAGACGCCGTCCGCACAAACGGCGTCTCCTGCCCCTCATAGTCCTCGTACCCTCGTGTCTCCTCACACCCACACGTGAAGGGCGTGGGCGCCCGCCCTCCGTTCTCTGCTGGGGGGAACTGGGGGACGGGGTCTTTGGCGCACCCCGATGTGGGTGTGGGGGAGAAGGCACCCGAGGCTGTTCTGTATTGACTGGCGTAGTACTTCTGGTTCTTGTCGGTGTGTGGCCCGGCGTGATTCCAGCGGTTGACGAAGAACACGCAGTAGTGCTGCTCTGAAATGAAGATGATAAGATGAGCAGAGAGAGAAGCAGGAGGGATCGGCTGGGCTGAATGCACTCATTCCATTCGTCCATGCATACGTTGGATGGATAGCCAGCCGCACCTGTGGTTGGGTTGGAAGGCGTTCTTGGCTCTGTGGGATCTTCTTGCTGGCTATCAGCACGATACCCTGTATATGCACACAATCGATCGGTCGATGCAATCAATTGTCTGTGCGTGTCTCAGATGTGTCGGGCTGCTTGTCCATTGACAGCTGTAACGTAACTCGCCCTTGTCGCCTACCTGTATTGTTCGAGCCAGTGGTGTTCTGGATGAAAGCCACCCCCTCCTTGTCCCTCATCTCACGCGCTGCCTGCCCCCCAGTTTGTGTTGTTGATGGCGAGAAGAAGGACTCCCATGCAAACGACGGCAGGTACGTCTGCCGTCCTGCAGCGGGACCAGAGCCACCTTCTGGCATTGGCGTCATTACAGTCTTGTTGAGCTGCGATGCCTTTGCACTTGTCTGGGCAAGGGACGCCCCCGCCCCACCATGGAGGCCTTTCTTGTCTTCGGCGGGCCTCTCTTTGCTCGTGATCTCTCGCGTCACCCTGTTGGTCTTGCCTCCTTCTGCTTTGGATTGCCCCCCTCCCCCTCTGCTTGTCGCACTGCTGGTGTTGGTGTTTCTTGCGACCACCGACGCTGGAACGGCCATCCCCGGCCCTGCGCCGGTCACGTCAACGAAGATCCGCGCGGCAGCAGCAGCTGCTGGTGCTGTCATTTTAAGGCGGCTCGTGTGTGTGTGGCTTGGCGCGCGCGGGCGAGTTGTCGTCCAGGGCAACAGCTGCTTGCAAACAGTTGGCGAGAACCAGCAGGGGGCAGACAGCCAAAACGCTGCTCATCATTGCAGGTCGGTCGGTATATTGCGGCCTGTGCGGACGATGTCCGTCAGGGGAAGACGGCAAGTGTGGTTGACAGGAGCTTCAGTGCGAAGGCGACGTAGGCGAGGGACCGACACATTGCCAAAGGGGGTTGAGGGACTTATGGGCGTGGTGTGGGGGCACCAACTCTGCATGCAAATCTATCAACGAGTAAACTCTGGACAGAAAGTTGGTGTTTCAAAACGAGCTTTGGAGGGAGGTAGATAGGTCTCACCCCTTGCATGCCATGCCTGTCAGTCATATGCCAGCCATGTCCACACCGCGCCACGCTCCGCCCGCTCCCACCCCCATAGAATGCACCGCAACCCTGCATGTGATGTCATGTCATGTCCTCGCCAAAACCGCGCAAAACTTGATCGTTCTGTGCTCGTCAGTCAGTCAGTGAGTCAGTCAGTCGTCACACCATCAAACAGCTGGCAGCCAACACACGGTGGATGGATGGATGGATGGATTGTCACTCGCACACACACACACACACGCACTCATGTCAAACAGGTTTGTAGACAGGCCGGGCGTTGCCGTGTTCGCCACCATCATCAGATATACGTATTGCACCAGATCGCTCCCTGCGCTCCCTCTCATAAAGAGAAAAAGAGGTGCCCCCCCGTGGCAGACAGACAGACAGACAGTCAGACAATGAGGCAGACAGAGACACTTGAGATGTATAGCTAGACAGACAGAGAGACAACAAGGGGCAGAAAATGGCTGGCTGGCTGGCTGGCTGGCATGGGCAGGTAAGGCAGGCGAGTCAATGAATGGGAAGCAGCAGTGAGAGCGTGAGGACGCATTTTGTGCTTGGCGAATGGCCGCTAATGTCTCTGTGTGAGCGTGTGTGTGGCGAATGGTGAGTGGATGGATGGAGTGCGCGTCAGCAGAAACACCCACGAATGCTCCCCAACCCTCCCTCCCTCCCTGCGAGACAGGAGCCTCTCTCCCCACCCCACAAACACACTCCTCTCTCTCTGTGGCCCGGTCCGGTAATCAAGCATGCAATCATAGCCTTTAAAAAGATGGAGTGGCTCGCTTGCAGTGCGTTGCAGTGCCCATTGCGCCCCACTTGATGGAGCCCTTCACAGCATAGCTAGCGGCACGAGAAACGGGTGGATGAGTGAGTGAGTGAGATGGTGAGACACACGTCCACACACACATAGCAACCAACCGATAAAGAGGCCGGGAGCCCCCTCGCCCAGATCAGGCCAGGCCCTGATCGATCGCAGGACGGACGTAAAGCTACAGGCAGACACACAGACATACAGATGGAGAGAGAGAATCGCGTAGGTGGGTGGATGGATGGGCGACAAAACTGATCGTGTGTGTTGTGTGATGTGAGGGTGTGCGTGTGTGTGTGTGTGTGTGACTATAGCGCGGGCGGAAGGAAGATAGATAGATAGATCGTCACACACACAGACATGAAGGTAGGTCAAAATCAACCCTGCGTGTGTGTCCATCCCTACATCCATCCATCCATCCATGTGTGCGTGTGTCAGTCAGGACAGCAAGACGGCAGGTCGGTCGGTCGGTCGGTCGGTCATTGTATCTGCTCACGCACCCACCCACTCACTCACTCACCTGCACACGGGGAATGGTATGAATGAAGGAACGAACGAACCAACAAACCAAGAATGCACGAAGGCACCCTCTCTCTCACTCTGTCTCTCACCCACCCACCCACCCACCCCCCCACCGGCCAACCATCACTGTGTCAGGGGCATTCGGGTGACTATGAGACAAGAGGGAGGGAGGGAGGGAGGGAGGAGGGGAGGGGAGTAATAGACAGCGACGGGCTGGCTGGGGCGCCGCGCCCTGGTGGCAGGCACCAATTCTTGCTGCACACATGAAGGGACGGAATGAAGCCAGGAAGGAAGAGTATGTTACGGGGCCGTACACACACACACACACACACACAGACACCTGTATATGTTACTGACGTTAGGCAGGCAGGTATAGCTATGCAGAGAGATAAGAAGAGAGAGAGAGTTACATAACATACACCACACAGCAGAAGAGAAGAACACACTCTCACAGGCAGGGAGGCAGGCAGGCAGGCAGGCAGACACGTCAACTAGGGCACCACGCACACACATCCATCCATCCATCCACCCACCACCCCGCCACTCCTCCCTCCCTCATCCAATCAAGCCAGCTAGTCTTCGCCCGACTTCCGTTCGGCCCCTCCTCCGCTCCCCGCCGCATCACACGCATCGTGTCCCTTCGCGCCCTCTTGGTTGTGGCTGTGGTCAACCATGCCCTCAGAAGTGGTGGCAGCAGCCAGCAACGAACCCGCATGGCCGTCATGACCACCACCACCAGCAGCACCACTGCCAGCGTGAGCAGCACTAGAGGAAACGGGGCTCACGCTCGTGGTCGTGCTGCCGCTGGTGGTGGTGCTGGTGCTGCTCCTGCTGCTGTCCGACCCCAGAGAGAGCATCACACACGGGCCGTCGGACATGGGCGGCGGGTGGGAGAGGTCACTGGCCGGCAGGCGCACCTTCTCCTTGACACTGTTCATCAGCTCCCGCGTCTTCTGTGTCACCTTGGTCGACAGCTCCTTGACGGCCTCCTTGGTGGCGGCTGTGGCCGCTGACGGGGAGGGGGGCGCAGCGGGGGATGAGACAGAGAGGGCCACGCGTGCATCGACTGCTGTGGGTGAGGAGAATGGGTCGCGGAAGAGGTTGTCCTCGAGAGGGGTCACCCAGGCTTCGTTGATGATCGGGTCGGTGCGCTCGTCGGTTTCCTGTTCGTTCAAGTGAGGACACACATGGCATGGTGTGAGTGTGTGGTGTGGGGGAGGGAGGGAGGGAGGGAGAGGTCTTCCTGGATGTGTGTGTGTGTGTGTGTGCTTACGGTGTGTTGGTGGTGTGTGGCTAGAGCGACATAGAGCGACAGATGCTCACTCAACATTTTGGCCAGCTTCTCGTCGTCCCTGCACACACACACACACACACGCATACACACACACATTCCATCCACACCGATCCCTCTCTCCCTGCCTGCATTGCCTTGCGTACCGCTTGAAATTGATGGTCTCTCCGGTGTCTGTGTTGCGCTTGTTGCTGAACTGTATCACGCCGATGACTTTGGACGGGTCGGCGTCGTCGAACACGGGGTAGCAGAGGAGCGACTTGATGGAGCTCTCCAGCTGGAACCTCCTCTCCTTGGTCCAACGCTTCTGGCCGATGATCACAGGCTGCACACACACACACACACACACACACATCCATCCATCCATGTGCTTTATACAGCCCACCTTTTTCTGCTGATAGGTGTACTCAATGACCCCTCCCTCCGTGTCGACAAATGGTATCTGCCGCGGCCCCTCCGCGCCCTTCTTCTTGCTCCGCCCCTCACCCCGCCAACCAAGGATGCCCGTCCCACCACCACCACCAGCAGCACTCTCCCTCTTGCCGTCAGATGACTGCTCGACCGACGCCGCGCTCTGCGAGTAGCTCGACCGAGAGAAGGGAAACAGCGACGAGAGGGAGAACCACCTCAACGAGGGGAGGGGGAACGGGGGCAGGCTCAGAGCCAGAAAGGGCGAGGGGGCCGGGGGGATGTCTTCTGACGTGGCGGTGGAGGGGGAGAGGGGGAGGGATTGGGACTGTGCGAGGGGGGTCTTGCTGCCGCTGCTGCTAGCTGCTGTAGCGTTGCTGGGCCGAACCACTGGGCGATACTCTATCCAGACCTGGTTCAGCTCATCTGCCATGATTGGACAGGGATGATTGCGCCCGTCTCAACCACGTATGTGTATGTGTGTGTGTGGGTGGGCGCGTACCCCTGAGGTAGAGGACGCAGTTGGCTTTGATGAGCCGCTCGGCGCTCTTGATGACGGTCGAGAAGATGGTCTCTAGCTCGGCCTGCCGCTTCAAGAGCTCCGTCTTCTCCAAGTCCATGAACAACAGACTCGTCATGCCCATCACACAGCCTGCACAGCACAGCACAGCACAGCACAGCACACGAGTATGATGACACAACACACCCAATCCACACGCATATGGATGGACCAATGAGGTGGTTGCGGTGCAGTTTGTTGGGCGTGTATGTGTGTGTGTTCGGGGCGTACCAACAACGACTCCGACGGCCCTGCCGACGGTGCCGATAAGCCGCACTGCCCCCGAGCCCCGCTGCTCCTCGGTGAAGTTGGGCTGGGGCAATCCCAACTTGCTGCTCATTCCAGCCACGAACACACACAGGCGTGTGTGTCTGGAGGGCGTGGCGTGTGTGTGTGTGTGTGTGTGTATGTGTATGTGGTTCTGTATACTCACTTGGCGATAGCTTCGACGGTCCCTCCGAAGCACACCCCGCTGACGTCTGAGAAGACTTGCCCGAAGGCCGCCGCAGTCAGGGTGCTCAAACCAAATGTCACTGCAGTACGTGACGGGCACACAAACGCACCAACGACACGACACACATGACCATTGACTGGCTCGATTGTGGTCTATATGTAGCTCTCCTGACCATCTCCCGAGCCTATCTAGCCTACCTACCTCCGATGGTGGTGTCCACCATCTCGCCCGCCTGTATCATGACGGTGTTGTCCATCCACCCAAACCCAACCATAGGCACCGCCGCGTTCAGAAAATGATACTTGAGCTGGCGCGCACTGGGGAAGTGAGAAGAGCCTCCACCGCCCCAACCGCCGACCACACCGCCGCCTCCCCGCTCCGTCACAGCGCCATTGCTCCCACCGCCACTCCCACTCCCACTGCCGCTCCCAAAGTCCTCCATATCGACCTCGCCCTCGCCCCGCCACACATGGTCACTCGCCCGCAGCAGATGCCGGCTCTCATTGCCCCAGTAGGGGTCGTACGTGTCGCGCCGGCTGACATAGTCGTCCACCTTGCCTCTCGACAGCCGCGCGGCGGTGTGCCAGGTGCCGCCGCAGAACGGGCGCGTCTGTGTCTTCTGAGTCCACTGGGGCAGCCTGATGCTGTGGCAGAAGGCCGAAGCGACGGGGTAGGGGGGGACGGGGGCTGAGTGGGGGTTGGCGAAGGGGCAGAGGGTGCGGACGTGGCTCCTCAGCTGCTGGGGAGTCATCATCATGATGGGTCTGGGTCCTTCCCTACTTGGGTGGGAGAGGAATCAAGACACGATAAATGACCATCGTGTGAGGTCCTCGGTGGCCACGTCAGCCTCAAATCAGGCCCAACTCTCTCTCCTGACTTACTTCTGCGAGCTTTGATGTCGATTCCTTCTCTCCCACGCTGTCGCCTGGTCTCTGGACATTTTACGGTGCCAGGGAGCCTCCACAAGGACGCCTGTAAGCGTGTGTTGAGCGAATTTTCCCCAGCAGTAGCCTGAGCCACTTTCCGCTTTCTGAATCGGGAGAGACCAGCGAGCAGCTTCTCGTGAGGATGACGACCACCCAGCGCAGCCCCAACTACGCGTCATGGCAGGACAGCGACGCCGAGGAGAAGGGCCTCATTTCTCCTGTCCAAGACGGACATCAAGTGCTGACCGACGATGTCCACACCACGTAAGGCCTTACAACTCAGGGAGGGAGGGGAGCAAAGCAAGCGGTGGCTTTCCTACGGGCACCAAACGAGACGAGGGTGTGGTGTTATGTTGCGTTGGCGTGCGTCGCCTCTTGTGTTGGCTGGTTTCATCGGTGCGATGCCTGCCTGCCTGCCTGGCTGCCTGGCTGCAGGATCCGCCACGGGTTCATCCGGAAGGTGTACGGGATTTTGTCGGTGCAGCTGCTCATCACGACCGTCATGGCCGCCTGTCTCTGCACAGACGCCGCAAAACTCTTCATCGCCAAAAACGCAGCCATTCTCTGGGTGGCCATGGCCGTTCAGGTAAGTGGGCATCACACACCACACACGTCACACACACACACAAGCCGATTGACCAATGACAGATCATTGCTTTCGCAACTTTCTGTGTGCCTGTGTGTGTGTGTGTGTGTGCCTGTGTGTGTGTGTGTGTGTAGTTGGTGCTGACCTTTGTGATGATGTGTTTCTCCGGCCTGATGCGTCAGTTCCCGACCAACTATATCCTCCTGGGTGTGTGGACGGCCGTGGAGGGGCTGCTGGTGGGCAGCATCTGCGCCTTCACGGACCCGCAGCTCGTCCTGGTCGCCGCGGCCCTCACGACGGGCATCGTCCTGTCCCTCACTCTGTTCGCCTTCCAGACCAAGTCAGTCAGCAGCTTCCTTTCTTCGCACACAGGGCAGGGGGAGAGGAGTGGTTCTAGAATGGGTGGATTGGTGTGTCTGTGCGTGTGTCCCTCAGATACGACTTCACGGGCATTGGTCCGTACTTGTTCGTATGCTGCATCGCCCTGTTTCTGACGGGACTGGTGTTGATGATAATGTCGGCGTGTGGCTTGCACTTCAAATGGGCCCATATCATTTACGCCGGCCTGGGGGTGCTCCTCTTCTCCATCTACCTCGTCTACGACACGCAACTCATCGTAAGAAACATAACATGCATGGAGTAATGGAGCACAGCACAGACAGACAGCACTGCCTGTGGTGTGAGGAGAGCATAGATAGCATCTGTGTGTCTGGCTGGGGCTGTGCTGCTTTGTTTGTCTTGCTGTGTCTGTCTGTAGGTGGGCAAGAAGCACTATCGCTTTGCCTTCAGCGTGGTGAGGAACAGAACAGATGACGAACAGGCAGGGCCTCCTCGAACGCCTGCACTCACTCTCTCGCCCTCCTGTCTGTCTGTCTGTCTGCCTGTGTCAGGATGACTACTGCTTCGCCGCTCTGATGCTCTACATCGACATCATCCAGGTGCGCCAGTCGAAACCCTCACACACGCACACACACACGCAGCAACTGAGTTCCCTGCCGTATCTCGTGTGTGCCATGCCATGCCATGCCATGCCCTGTGTGTCTGTCTGCCTGTCTGTCTGTCTGTCTGTCCGTCTGTGTGTCCCCGTCAGATCTTTTTGTACATCCTCTCCATCCTCCGTGAGGCCAACCGTTAGCTCCCCCGCTTCACACCACACCCACCCCCGGAGAGAGACACAGGCAGGCAGGCAAAAGACCAGACCAGCCGATAGATAGATACATCGACAGACACATGGATCGCACTACTTTGGCTGACTGACTGACCGATAGCACCAACAAGGGGGAAGGGGAAGGAGGTGAGGGAAGCGACCAGGCCAGGCCAGCCAGGCTAACACGCGATGGCAGGGCTCGCCGGCGTGTCCTGACTGACGCACGGGTGTGTGCATAGAGGCCGGCAGGACTGATATATGTGATGGCATTGAATGCATTGCAAGGTGTGCGGTACGGTGTGGTGTGTACGGGTGGATGGATGGATGGACGGACAGATGAGTGATCTAGGGGCGCCCCTCCATCCATCCATCCCGAAATCACTCTTCTGTCTGTCCGTCCGACCATCCATCCATCCATCCATCACGGCCAGGCCAGGCCGGGCTTCATGTTTCTTCAGCTGGCGAGAGGCGTCCATTCGATCTTTTTCCCGTGTGTGATGTTTGTGTGTATGTCTGCATGTGTGACCGTGGACATCCATCTATCTGTGCGTGAGTGTGGATGGCATGGCTGTCGTGCGGTGCAGTGCGTGTCACTCACTCACTCATTGGTGCCTGCCTGTCTGTCTGTATTTGTACATAATACAAATTGACCGCGAGTCCAAACCCCGAAGGGGCCAGACCGCCAGGGTCTAAACCCAAAGACCTTAAATCCTAAAACCCTAAGCAATCGAACGTTCTCTTCGACTCAGGCGTGTGTAGTGTGTAGTCATGGCGGAGAGCGGCAAGTTCGTGGCTTCATCCGGCGTGCCGTTGCTGAGTTCCCTCTACGGCGACCTGCCGCCGTCGAAATCCGCCGGCGATGAGGGCAAGGACGGCACCAGGCCGCTGGAAGGCGCAGCAGCCACAGGTAGAAACACACTGAAGCACCGATGGATTCGATTCATCCCGCTTTCACTTGCCTGTCTGTCTGTCTGCCTGACTGACGGGTGTGTGTGTGTGTGTCAGCCTGGTCCTCCAGTCGTGCCAAACTATTTTTGCCACACACAGTGAGGAAGAGGCCGCCGCCACAGCCTACCGCAGCACCCTCGGCAGCACCCATACAGGTCAGTCGGTCAGAATCGACGGATGGATGTCCTTGACCGGCGTGTGTTCATCGCTCACTCTCGCCCTTGCTTGTTGTTGGCGTATGGGTGGGGTTGGTTGGTTACAGAAGCGTGAGGAGGATGCCGAGCCCAAACCCGCTGCGTCGGCCTTCGCGGCATTCGCCGGTGACTGACTGACTAACTGGCTGACTGGCTGGCTGCAGCACTCGCCTCTTTCGCCCATCTGTGGTGGATGTTTGGTTGTGTGAGTTTCATTCAGATGGGAGTGGTGCCAACGACCCAGGTGGCGCCAGCCCGATGGAGATCGAGAAGGCCCCCCAGGTGTCCCCTCCCTCCCCCACCCCCAGCCCAGATGCCGCAGCAGCACCGACGGCCACCAAACGCGAGGACCACCGAGTGCACGAGGAATACGGTACGTACGTCTGTCTGCGTGTCTGTTTATGTTATGGGGCAGGGCAGGGCAGGGCAGGCCGGCAGGCGGGAAGAGGCAGCGGTGTCGAGTCGAGTTGTTGGTTGGTTCACTTTGAGTACGTTTGTTGTGTGTGTTGCGGTGCGGGGTTGTGTTGTGTCGGCTACTTACTACTGGTTTTGTAGACCCGGCCAAGCCGAATAACTACGAGGCCATACTGAGGGAGAGGAAGCGACGGAAGAAGCACGACGATATGCAGAGGAAGATGCAAAAGGGTCGGAGAGTCAGCCAGGCAGGCAGGCAGGCAGCAAGGAGAGATCGATGGATGGATGGATGTGTGGAGCCAGCGACCACATGTATTTCACCACCGTACCGTCTGCCTCTCTCTCCTTTGGTGCAGAGCTGGATCGGCAGAGGCGCGAGCGAGAGCGGGCCGGGACAGCTGCCCACCCGAACAACGTCTCGGTACGCACACACACACATTTCCATTCAGATGCGTGTGCATTGGATGTGTGCCTCAATGGTCTGTGTGCGTGTGATCGATTCACTCATCAATCAGGGTGAGGAGGCGTGGAAGCGCCGCGCTCATTTGCCGACGGGGGCGGGAGAGGCCGAGAAGGAGCCAGGTGGGTCTGTCTGTCTGTCTGTCTGTCTGCAAGGAGAGGAGTGGCAAGAACGGCATGGCTTCATGTCATGCGTGTCCGTGTATATGTCTGTCTGTGCGGTGTGGTGGCGCGTGGGTGCGATGCGATGCGGATGCACACACACGACACATGTATGTATGTCAGAGAAGAAGAAAGACTTTGCTGCTCGGCTGATGGAGAAGATGGGCTGGAAGGAGGGGCAAGGTAAGGTCAGACATAAATAAGCAAAGCGTCCCTTAGATAAGACCCCCGCATCTTGTGAGTGAGTGAATTGTGTGGGTCGGTGCGGTGGGCGTCTGTCTGTCTGTCTGTTGAATGAACAAACAGGTCTGGGTCGTCAGAAGCAGGGGATAGTCGCCCCCCTGGTGGCGAAAAAGGTGGACAAGCGGAGCGGCGTCATTGTGCAGGGCGCCGCACAGCCGCCTGAAGAGGCCGCCAAAAAGAAGGTACACACCCATCACACACATCAGAGAGATCCATCCACTCATTCAGCCACTGTCTGTCTGTCTGTCTGTGGCCCGGTCTGGTCGACCAGCCTCGTTCGACGCAGCCCAGCCGGCCGGCGACACGCATCCTGCTGCTGCAGGTGGGCAAGTGACTGACCAGAGAGGAAATCGACGACACGTGTGGGTCTGTCTGTGTCTGTCACTTGTCTGTCTTGTCGTTTTATCGATCAGAACTTGGTTGGTGCCGGTGAGGTGGACGCCGAGTTGGAGCAGGAGACTGCCGAGGAGGGGGCCAAGTACGGCAGCCTCGTTCGATGCCGCGTCCATGAGGTACATGGGTACATGTGCTCTTGTGATGTGATTGATAGACACACACACACCACACACACAGAGACTGAGAGAGAGGGGTTGGCGAGGCATCCTCCCGATGAAATGTGGGTCCCCGTGCTGTCCTGTCCCCTCCCTCCCCTTGTGTGCTGCGCTGCGCTGCTCAGGTGTCAGGTCTGCCAGACGACCAGGCTGTGCGCATCTTCTTGGAATACGAAACCAAAGACAACGCGACCAAAGGTAAGTCCGGTCCGCCACACAAAACACACAGGAGGAGGCAGAGACGGCATGCCTGGCAGGCAGGCCGATTGGCTGACTGACTTGACTGGTTTGTCCGTTGTCGTCATTTCCGGGGTGTGTGTGTGTGTGCAGCGTTGCAGAATTTCAACGGTCGGTTCTTCGGTGGCCGGGTGGTCACGGCCAAGTTCTTCGAGGAGGTACCTGGGTGGACAGAGAGACAAAGAGGGAGCCACTGTCTGTCGCCCTGCAGCTGACTCTGGTGTTGGCTTCGTTTGTGCAGGCCCGGTACTCTGAGGGTGATCTAGACCCGAAGGCGGGGGAGTGAAGTGAACGAGTGAGTGCCGGAACACACACACACATGGATGGACAGACAGACAGATGGATGCTATGCTGGGGTGTGTAGACTTGACTAACATGAGTGATGTGTTTCGCTTCAAGTGACTGACATACATTATCGCAACCAGCTCAGCTGTTGACCTCATACCGTGCGTAAACGTCTCTGTGGTCGTCACATCCCATGCACACACTGATTCGATTCCAGTAAGTCTTTTCTTCTCCGTGAAGTGAGCCACACACAGCACAGCAACACACACAGCAGCATGTCAGCGCGTGCGCTCCCGCCCACGCATCGGTGTCCATGAGCTCACAAAGGGATGCAACTCAGGGAGCCCGACGCGGAAGGAGAAACACCGTCACCGACACACCACCCATCCACCCATCCATCCATCCATCGAATGCCACGCGCGATGATGCAAAATGGGTCACATACAGACGGACATATCGCCCTTCGCGTGTCGTGCCTCTGTGTGTTGCTCCACCTCCCCGAAGCCGTCTGTGCCTTCGTGCGGACAACCCGAAACACAGACGGCTTCAAGAAGAAGTAGAAACACACAATGGCAGAGCGCACACCCTGAGTGGCGGAGGAACTGGAAAGGCTGTCTTGTCTTGACGCACACGGCGGTTCCATGCACACATCTTCCGTCTCCGTGTCAATGTGGGGCCGCGTCGTGTGGCCTCGTGTCTTCCACCCCCACAGCGATCGAAGTAATCTGAGCTTCGTGCTGACAAGCCAAAACACAGACAACTTCGACGAGGCGGAGGAATACCCGAACCACACGCAGACCGACGGAGAGGAAGAAAAAGGCAGCGGAAACACACGAGCACAGAAAATCTCGTAGCAGTCCGTGATGACGCATCCATCGTATGCACACACACTGGAGCCGAAAACAGTGACAACACGGCACGCCCCCTCTGGCCACCACAAGGGACTTCGATCACCAGCAGCAGCAGCAGCAGCCGCACTCACTCACTCATCAACACACATGTACAACATCAGCCACCGATCGGTCGGTCCATCCGTGCACGGCCTCTAAAAGTGTCGACGGCCCAAAATCCCGGCAGGGAGGCAGGCAGGCAGGCAGCCATCCACTCCCTCCCCCTGTCTGTCATTTGAAAGTCGACACTCAGGGCCGATCGGACACATCATGATGCAAGCCAAGCAAATTCAGCCAGTGTGTCCATCCCCCGTTGCCATCCCACAACACACACACACACACACATACACACAGACACGAAGCACGTTGCCACGTTGCTACTGCTTTTTCCCGGCCATACCTACCTACCTAAACCAGGCTCAAAAAGGCAGGCAGTCGGCGCGGCTCACCACAGCCGCTGCAGTGCCCCGAGGAAAATCGACAGACAGACAGACAGACAGACACAAAAAGGCCTCATTCTTCCACTACTACTGCGAAAAAGATAGCGGCACGCCGGCCGGCCGACACTCATTCACTCAATCACTGAGTCGTCAAGGCAAAACGGCCCCAAAAAAACAGCAGAGAATCGGGAAAGCGAGACGCGAGCGGGTGTGTTGTGACGGCGGACGATGCGATCCCGCCTCGCGAAAAAGATTCTCCCTCCCTCCCTCCCTCCCTCCCTCGTTGAAGCGCTACGAAGACTGGCAAAACGGGCTCACAAGTCAGTCAGCAGGATCGGAAAGGTGAGACGCGAGAGGGTGTGCTGTGATGACACTGTGCGTGCATGTCCAAAAGCCGTCGTGTCCCCGTCTCCCCTCCCTCCCTCCCTCCCTCATTCATCGAAGCGCTATGAAGACTAAACCACGGCTTGCCATGATGCTTGTTATATAGATCATATTAGCTATCGAGAAAGAAGCCAGCCAAGACACTCCAAGACCAGCACTGCGACACGACACGACACGACTCGACACGGCAGCATGACGCGATGAGACAGACAAGACAGAGACCCCCGCCGCCCATGCCTCCCTCCCTCCAATCTTCCTTCCCCCGTTATGACCCTCCCTCACCCACTGCCGCCACATGTGGGCGTGTCCTCCCCCTCCCCGTCCCCATCCCCCCTGTCAAGCTCGTCGTCCTGCTCCTCGACGATCAGCAGTGTCATGCCGCTGCCCTTGCTGGTACTCCGATCCTCTGCAGTCAGCAAAGGCGGCCCGTCCGCACCCTCCATGCGGGCCTCGACGGTTTCCTGCTTGCACTGCTTGAGGAAAGGCAGCAGGTCAGTGCCGCCGGTGCCGACGTCGGTGAGGCTCTCGCTCCTCTCCTGGTGCCCCCCCTGCACCACCCACTCTGGAGTCGCCTCCTCGGTATTGGGGGTACTGGTGGTGGTGGTGGGGGCGGCTGTCGGTGTCGGTGGTGCGGCATGGTGCCGCTTGAGTTGGATGATGTACGTGTAGACCAGGCCCATGTGCGCCGACCGAAACGCCGCCAGCAGGTCGATGCACTCGTTGAAGGCGTCCACCAGGGGGGAGGGAGAGGGAGAGGGGCAGGGGGAGGGGGAGGGGGAGGGGAGGAGGGGGGCTGGCGGCTCACTGGCACGGATGAGTGCGCGCATGGCCTCTCCGACCGGCTGCAGGTCCTCGAGGAACCGCGCGTGTCGGGCTGGCATGTAGTCGCGCATCTCACTGAGGAAGGGGTCGTCATGGTTGACGCCCAGCATGACGTCCAGCATCTGGATGAGGCTCGACTGCCCCGCAGACGCACCCTTGTATGTCCTCGCCTCGTTGGACACCCCCTCGTAGACCAAGCCGTCGGGGAGCGCCTCGCTCGAGCCGAAGCCGGCGAGAAAGGGCCGCTGCTTGAAGTAGAACTCGAAGCGGCAGCATCCCTCGTACATGCGGCCGATGAGCGATGTCACACTGCGGAGGGTCGACGCCAGGCAGCCCAGGTACTGCAGCAGCTCGTCGGTGAGGGCGGGGGAGGGCGGGAGGTGATGGGTGGCAGTGGGGCTGGGCGGCGGGGGTGTGGGTGTGGGTGTCTCGGGTGCTTTGTTGAGCGTGTGTGCGAGGTCGAGTGTTTGGTGGATGAGGGGCGCGCCGGCGTGCTCGATGACGGTGGGGATCAGGTGGAACCACTCCTCCGACCGACTTCCTGTGAAGTGCGTGTGGCACCTGACCAACAGACAGACAGACAGACAGACAACGGGTCCCCTTTCGTCCTTGGCGCGGTCGTCTGTCTGTGTCTGTGTGTGTGTGTGTGCCTACTTGAGGTTTTCGATGTCCATGGGTCCGTCGGCGTCGATGAGTGCCCAGTTCCAAAGGTCCATGGACGCGTGGGTCACCACGGGCGGCACTCCCAGCCGATCGCTCACCGCACACCTTAACACACCACACACACAGAGAGAGAGAGAGAAATGCATTAAAACAACGGTGTGTGTGTGCGCCATTCCCTCACTCCCCTCACTCTACTCACTGACGTACTTACCATGGCACCGCAATGCTCTTGGGCAGCACGTCCCGGACGCCCTCATCCCCGCCGCCCCACACGTAGGCATGGCCCAACACAGACAGCACCACATACGCCCGACGCAGCGAACACTCATCCCCCGCCCCTATGCGCGAGCTGTCCAGCACACACATGCCCTCGATCTGCTCCCGAAAAAGAGCCATGTCCTTGACGCGCGAAGGCACGTCCGTGGCGAGCTCCTCCCACTTTTCGAAATAGGGGTCGGCGAGACGGCCCACGGGAGGCTCGGAGGGGAGAAAACCGCTCTCTGCGGAGAGGCCATAGTCACGCAGAGAGAGAGGGAGGAAAGTGGCCATGATGTGTGTGATGATGGTCAGCGCGTGTGTGAGGCAAAATGTGACGAGAGTGAGAGTGTGAGTGCGGCTGAGAGTGTGTGGCACACACAGACAGAGAGACAGAGAGAGAGAGAGAGTGAGCTCTTAAAACGAACAGATGAGCACCCCCATCACACCCATCAATCACGCCACTGTCTTCACAACACAGGCACGCCCCTCTCAGCCAGCCAGCCAGCCAGTTTGTTTGGAACAAATAGCCGTACACAGACAAACACCAACACGTCACTGTCTTCACTCACAGACGCCGAGTCAGTCAGTCAGTCAGTCAGCCAGTCAGTCAGCGAGTCCTCAGGAGAGTAGCTAGGGAAGTAAGAGAGTGAGAGAGTGTAGGGCGGGGCGGCTAGACCCCCTGTCGTCTGGGGTCTCGTCTGGGGTCCACCAGCCCCGAGAAGCGGCTACGCTCGTAGCTGTCCCACCAGCACATGGGCGGCGCCTCCTGCTGCTGATCTCACAGCAGTCACCCGGCCGTCAAAAAACGATGAGCGCGAAGCAAGCCCCGCGCTCAGATGATCAGCACTCGAATGTAACCGAGAAGGAAGGCAGCCTGCACCAGACCGACCAGCCACACGGACCGCACGCACAGAGAGAAGGGCGAGATCACCACCAACAGTGGGGGTGTTTCGGCATTTGTCAGATCTGAGCTTACCCGAATGAAGTGCTGCACCGTCACAGGCCCTACGGTCCGAAAAAGTGGTCTCAAGAGAATTTGCGAGCTACGATTCTACGTCTCTTTTAAGCTCGCACCCAAGGAGAAGGAAAAGGAAAAGTCGAGGAGGAGTACACACATCGAGGGAAGCTCGCAGAGTAAGGTTTTGTTCACGCCTAACCGCTACGTAGCCAAGCTGACGTGGTAAGCGCGCCACACACGCCGGGAGGGGAAATGGACGCAAAGGAATGCACGGAGGTCACAGGGCGGCCAGGGAGGGACGGGAGGGAGGCAGGGGGAGGGGCGGGGGGAGGTCCGAGGCCGGGCAATGACCGTTCCTTTGTCCGGTGCTGTGGGTGGTGTGTCAGGTGTTGTGTGGTTGAGAGGACGCACTGATGGCGATTCACGGGTTCAAGTTGGAGCGATACCTGGTGAGACACGAAGGGAGGGCGTGTGGAGGCGATCAGAGAGCGGTCCACGCATCTGCTCTGTGTCCGCGTGTGCCCGCGGGTGCGTGTGGCGTTCTGTCGCTGATGTGATGTATTGTCATGTCAGAGCAAGAAGTTGGCTCAGCCGTTGGGTTCGCCCGAGGAGATCAAGTGCAAGGTGTGTCAGGCGGCCTGGTTCGCCGTCCCTGCAGGCATCCTGTTCACCCACTTCATCTCATCGGTATGTGAACCAAGCCGGTCACACCACACCACAACACAAACCAGATGTGTCACGTGTGTGTATGTGTGTGGGCTTCTCTTCTGTCTGCAATCAGGCGATCCGGAAGCAGCAGCGGAAGCAGCGGGGCCTGGACCGTGTGTTGGACAAGAGGCCGCGGCCGTCTGCCCCCGCTGCCGTGTCGTCTGCCCGCCCCGCAAGCCCCGCCCCCTCCCCCCTGCCATTGCATCACGCGCGGACGACCACTGCCTTCGAGCGCCTGAGGAACGCCCTGGCCGCCAGCTGGACGCCCAGGCCCACCCAACACCGGAGCGCACCCGCACCGGCATACGACTGATGGATGGATGGACGGATCGGATCTACCCACTCAGGCACGGTAAGCTCGAAGGGATGGATGACGTGTCAGCCAGCCTTCCTTCTCAGGCATTCGCTCATTGTGTCTTCGTGTGTGTGGGGGTGTTTGGTGCCGCCCGCGATGCGATCGATGCAGGTCAGTATCAGACTGAGATGCATCGGATGGGTGGGATGGACCGGTGTGTGAGTGGCTGGCTGGGTGCTTGGGTGTGCTCGGGTGTGCTGGGGTGGGGTGTGACTGGTTGGTTGGTTTGAGTCCGGCTGTGAGTCGACCGATCGACCAGCAGTACTAACTACTCTATTCCAATCTAATATGACGATAGCGTCAGGCATGGCTGACTGGCTCACTGTCTGACGGACGGATTGACTGACTGGGAATGCATTGCTTGTGTGTGTGTGTGTGAATGGAGTGTGTGAGCGCGTGAGCGTGAGCGTGCGAGTGGTGTGAGTGTATTTGTCGTTGTGCGTGCGTGTGGTGATATGTCTGTCTGTCTGTCCGGCTGTTTGGCTGATGGGATGGGTGAGGTGAGGGGAATTCGCCCTGCCGACGGGCGGCCTGTTTGGCCGTCGGCTGGGAGGCTTAGCGGTGCGGTGCTGACTGACTGGCTGATGGATCTTGGCTGCATTTGGTGCGGTGGCTGGCTGGGTGCTTGGGTGGGTGGGTGGAGGTGGGTTGATTCACTGACAGGCTGCGGGCCGCACTGACCCGCACCACACACAACACAGACAGAATTCATCAGTCTTCCATCCATCCATGTATTCATCTATCCATCCATCCCTGTGTGTGTGCGAGTGAGTGGCAGACAGTGACCTGACTGACCATGTGTGATGGCTGGTGTGTGTGGCGGAATGAGTGAGTGGCAAAAGTGACTGAGTGGCCGGACCCCCCTCCCCCTCCCCTCCCCCTCCCCCTCC